CTCAAGCGCCAAAGGCAGTGCGATGGCCATACGGCCTAACACCGTGATCCGTGCCGTCTCGTCCTGCGGTGGCTCCGGCGATTCAGGGAGTGCTCCGTGCCTGGTTTCATCTGGTCAGGCTCTCTCCCTAGGGCTCCAGTCGTGCCTGCGAAGGTGGGCCCTGGGGTGGGATTGGAGGGTTCAAAGAGCAACACAGCAGGTATTTGGAGTACCTAGGGCCCCTAGAGTCTCTCTCACTCTCTCTCTCTCTCTCTCGCTCCCCTCCCTCACTTTCGTTCTAGATTTGGAAAGCTTTGAATGTGCAAAGGTGGGCACGCTACCATCATTTGCTTCCTTCAATATAAAAGCAAGATCTCCGTGAACGTTTCGTCAAATTTCACATGTATGTGAAGTTCCATCAATCCATGCCGCGATTGGATTTGTGTCACTTGATGGTTGTATTCGGTTGTTCTATATTATCCAGGTCTCTGGAGATCTTGTGTCTGATTTTATTCCGACTCCTTCAGTTTCCATGGACAGCACGGGTTAAACTTTGTCTGCCTGTTCTTGTGAAAGATGGGGTGCCACCACTCCCCAAAAAAGGTTTTTCAGGTTATCCACGTACTTCCTGGGTATGTATTGAATCAAGCACAGTGAGCATGTCGCCACACACGACTCTCCAAGGAAGGAGTCGTCCCGAAGGTGAAGGAACAAAATACACAGGCAAGCACCAGTGGTCTGAGTCTGAGCACACGTCGCAGAACCTCAAAGAACTCGATAGACTGATAGACATCTGATAGACTCTTCCGCCTTAGACCTCACCTATAGTGCCCCAGTCGTGCACGTGCCCACGTCATCCGCCACTTCACCAGTCTCTGCTCTGCCCGGCTCGGTCCCTCTTGGTGGTGAGAGCTCCCAGCTCGGCCAACGTGCGCACCTCGATAATGCCATGGGGCTGCAAGGTCGGTCCGCATCCCCGGGTCCCGCGGTCTCCCCCCCTCCGCGCGAGGCCGGTCGTCCGCGTGGCTCTGGATGGTTTGGACGAGAGAGTGCCCATGACCATCCGCCCATGGTGCTTAGACTTCGGCAGTTGATCCATGCTTATCCCCTTTAAAGCAACCCACCCATGAATCCAAAAGAACTGAACTGGTCCACCCATCATAGGTTCCGGTGCCACTTCTATCTTTGAGGGCGCAGGTCCAGATTCCCCGAACGCGCGCTGAACGCGGACCTGAGCCCTTTACTATGTTTAGACGACAGTTTTCCTCTTTGGCTTGTTGTCTTCCACCAACTCCCACGGCGCACCGTGCACTCTCCTGCAAGCCCAGCGACCGCATCTTCCAAGCGTTCCATCGGGGGGCGGTTGCACCTTAGGGAAAGCATCACGGATAAAACAAGTACGTCAAATATCTCAAAACACCCAAAACGTGCTGTTTTTAAACCCCACCGGCTACGTGCAGCAATGCATCGGCGAACGAATTCGAAACCGCGCCCCGGCGAAGGAAGCGCCCGCAGTGGGGTCACAGCGCTTCATGTTTCCGGTCTAGAACGACCTCTGAGGATCTAGAAGCCGAAGCACCCTCCGAAAAAACCGGTCAGAAAGAGGTCAAGCCCTGGAAACCACTGAGCACTTCCCACAGTGAGCTGCAGCAGGCGTCGCCTCGATGGGGAGAGGCACAACGGCCGATGTACTGAATGGGTGACTGCATAGCGGTCCAATAGAAATGGTTGTTCCAATACATTTGTAGTGGGGATCTGTTGGGCGGTCTATATTTCTTAAGAAACCCCCCGTCCTCAGCTTCGCAAAGACCACGTTGGATGTGCTTCAGTCCTGTCCGCCGGTCCCCTTCAGTCCCTCCCTGCGCTCCCCTGCGGGGGAAGAGCACCGATCCGCGGAAGGCGTTCCCGCAGGCGCTGGGAGAGTTGCTTCACCTCGGGGGGGCGTCGCGCGGATGGACGCGGATGCAGGATGCATGAAGAACGATGACATGAGTGCAACGAGTTCTGAGCGAACTTCTGATCATATAAGGGAGCATCAAGAAATAGGCACATAGGCAATCATAGGCACGGCTTGGGCAATGATCGGTGTGGTCTGTTCTCGCACCCTGCTGGGTGCGCCATGGCCGGTTCTTTTCGGCACTGCGCGAAGCGGCGCGTATCGGGTCAAAGAAGTACTGCATCATGGCCCGAAAGACCTCTTTGAGCTGCTCTCACTCGGTGTTCGCGGGCCTGGGCGCTGAAACCCAAAGCATCCATGGGACTGGGCTAGTTACGTACATCTGGGGTCATACATGGGGGTAAAGGTAACTATTGCATACATGGATGGTCCGGGAAATGAGGTGAGATGGTATACCATGCTATACCTATTGTATGCAGCCTATAAATCATATATGGTAGCTGCTAGAGTAGCCATATAGGCAAAGTCAACAAGAGTATACCTCTGAATACGAAAGCAGGCTAGCCAGGCTCACATAAGCATAGAAGATCATAGAAGCAAGCAGGGGGATCAAGCTGTCACTGGAAAAATCTAGTCATGTGACATGAACTGGAAGGTCTGTGACATGAACTGTCTAGGTTTTGGGGTCATGGGGTCATGTCTCATGGTCCCCAGAGGACGGTCCATTCGATTTCGTGCATGGAACTGGGAGGAAACGACCAGTCTACCCTTCACTGGTGCTGTCGCTCCATTCACAGACCAACCCCACAGACCAAACCTTGGTGCTGTCGCCACATGGAAATGGGCACATGCATCGAGCAGGTGAGGTTCCCAAAGCCCGTTTGAGGGCCCGAAGTCTTAAGGGTTTTAAAAATCACCACAACCAATGGATACAATATGATACAATGAGGGTGCCCAAAACTGCTTGCAACGAGGATTTCACGTCTTTTCCTAACAAAGACCTCCATCTTGTGACGAAGACGCCACACGACAAACACACGACGCCCTCGCGAAACTGCCTCCTGGAACTGCCTCCTTGGTCTGACAGAAAGCTGGCCCAAGAGGTTTGAAGCATTGGAGAACATCCCATGTTGATTGCTACGTTATCTTTGTTATATATAAATTAATTGTTATTAATTATTATTAAGCTGATTGGTTGAGTCAGTTTGGCATCCTTTTTGTGTAGCATCCCGCTGTTATGTTTGTGACTCATCATGAACCCCACCAGGAGCAATGCTTCCACTGGAACAAAAACTGAGGAAAACAGGCTTCGAATGCCCGTGTGATCACCTGGTCGAATACGCGCTGTCTTCGACGACTTCCGTGTTGGGGTCCAGTTGCGTACCCCATCTGGGAAGCAATAATCATGGAATGAACGAGCACCAAAACGTATGTATACTTACAAGGAAGCCAGCGTTTGCCGCCCCAAACTGGCCACAAACAATTGATTACGTAATAACTATATACTGTATAATATAAATTTAACATTGATTGAAACACTCACTTGGCAGAAGCTCACAAGCAGTTCAGGAGCGATGATAGCCGAAACCGAGTCTTAGCTGCGCGTGTTTGAGCACACCTAGAAAGCGCAAACGTAACCACATGCTCAATTATTTCGATCTGTTTGTCTGTTTGTTCTTCCTGCAAGAACCTTGTTTCTCATCTCATCCCAAGGGCAGACGCGAGCTCAGTCTGTCGGCAAGCTATTCTGGCATGAGAAGCTTTAACAGTTTAGGGGTGAGTATTGCTAAAACCGGATCAGGGAAAACAACAAGTATTCTTCCTGAACTGCAGTTGCTGAGTGAAAGGTGTCCGAGTTTTTAAAATGCTCCTGAAATGCATGTTGACCTGGGCCCATCTGCATTGCTCCAAGTTTCAGTATAGCTCCTGGGCCTGTCGTCTCCACTTCCACTCTCTGCGTCATCCTGCGTCCACCACCTGGAAGTCACAGGCATCTGAAGGCAAAGGCTGGCTATGCCAGTGCCACAAACGCTTTCGCACGGCACTGTTGATCCGACGGCAGTGCCAGTCCAACCCATCATCGGAGTGAGATGTTCACACAAGGAACCACTCCCGGGAGAGAAGGGGTCTGTCTGCTTTTCTTCCTGTAGGTCATGTACCAATATATCAAACCGTTGCCACCCCAAAAGGTAAGTTGGCAAAGCTTCCACCTGTGTCAACCACCAGTGCCGGTGAGCGCCAGAAAAACCGCCCCACAACGCTGGAAATCCAATGACTTTCCATCGAGGTCTGAACAGCGAGGTCGGAAAACGTCTGAACATTGCATCCCAAACACTCCATATCTATCTACATTCATAAATGGAGTGCCTGGGTGTATCTCTCTCCCTCTCTCTCTCCCCATCGCCCTCTCGATGAGATTCGCCAGAGGCAAGCTGGCGAGCCTCAAGGCCTTGTATTGGACCAAGTCATTATTTCATCCTTTTTGATCCTTTTTGTTCTCCTATTGTGGGCCTCTGAACCGGGCCTGTAAGGGTGGCTCCAGGCGAGCTCTGCATTTGTATGAATGGAGTGGGAAACCATGAGCCAACTGACTAGGCGACTTTGGGGATGACTTAGGTCGTTGAGAGTCCACATTGAAAAATATCATCAACGGCTTCACCATTTTATCGATATTGAATGGATGATCATCTCTATGATTCTATGATTATCATACGAGAAATACGGTTCATCCTTGAAAGGTTTGAAAGCTGCTCAATCTGTTGTCATGACCAAATTCAAGGACTGACCTGGATCCAATTAAATACCTGATGCACAACTTGTTTCATACCCAACATTGGACACTTGGACGACAATTTCCATATGGATTCTACTCTATATGACATGACAATACATGACATATATACTGGTTCCAATGACTAGAAGTCATCAAAGCCTGAAACTCTCGACCTCGCGGTCTTTCTCCACTGCAACAGTCTTTGGCTCGGCTGCTTGGCAGTCGGACGGGTCGAAAAAAGGGTGACCCAGAACATGACCCGAACGACGTCGGGCTGTGCTGAGGATACGATGTGAAAGGACCAAAAACCAACGACCTATACTGGATGTTCAGGCTACGACCTATATGAATGCTTTGATCATCTGAAGGTGATGCAGGCTGAGACTATCAAGAAAAACACGTTTGTCCGAACTCACTGGACCATCCTTCTCTTCAGTAGCTTCACCCCGGTCTGCGCGCGGATGCGTCAGCTCAGCTGGTGCGCTCGATGTCCGAGTAGTGCAGGATCGTGAGCTCCAAGGGCCTGAGACGCAGATCAGAACGAGCTGGACGCCTGACCCCAGGATTCAAACAACCATTGTTTCCCATGGACTCCATGGGACTGCCATAGGACTGCCGATCAGGCCTGGGGTGGTGCCAGGGGGGTCAATGGGGCGGCAGTCCTATGGCAGTCCCATGGAGTCTATGGGTTTTCATGGTCTGAATCCCAGGAACCATTGTTTTACGGATTTTTACACTACACCACCAGCTCAACCGTTCTTTTAATGGTCGAACTGAAGGCTAGGGAATATATATTTGGACGCCAGACGAAGGTCCACATCTTCTCAAACTCCAGGCTTCGAGCTGAGACAACTGCCCCCATGTGTGGAACAGAGTGGAAATGGAACTCATCTTTCCTCCAGCCCCATCCGGAAGAAAAGAACAAACATACTTCCCATTAGCCCAAAACGAGGCGCGTCCCCATCCGCATCTTCAGCTCATCCACCATCTTTCGCCCTGGCATCCTTGGATTCATTTGCTTTATATGGAACCCGGGGAAAAATAGACATATTCCACAGGTTTGGGGATGTTTAACCCGGGGCAAATAACCAAAATCCCCCTGATCCATTGTTCAACCGCCCAGGCATCTGTTGCCCGTCCAGTGCGATGATCCGATCGCCGGCCATCACACGCTCCGACAGCTCATGGGACGCGTTCCATTCTTCGATGAGACCCGAAGGCAGCACCGCGTCGATGATGATACCGGCGGACTTCACCGTGTACTTCCTGGGTTTCTGAAACCCTTCCCCCTTCCCTTCCCGAGTCTGGAACAGACAGCGGAAGAACACCGGTGTCTCATGAAGAAGAAGGGCTAGGAGAAGGAGGCCTGGACTTCATCGTAGTACTAACTCGCTTGACTCGTGTGGCCTAGGGCTCCCATCTCCACCTAAGAACTACTGAGAATCCAACAGAGGTTGAATGACCCGAACTAGACTATCCCATAGGTACCCCATTTGACGGGTCCTAGTTCAGGTCACTTAACCTCTCTTGGAATCCAAACATCACGTGTTTCACTTTCTTTGGCGCTCTGAGTGGGTGCTCTTCTTCAGGTTGAGATCCACACAAACATGTGCAAAGCGAAGCGCGATAAACACCGACATGGGCTTAGAAGACATACTTTGAACCTTGATATCACAATCTTTCAATCAGTAGTACAATTATTGTAACATATTAGGTCTATGTTAAATATATAACTAAATATTATATATAGTCCATGACAGTGACTATCAGTCACTATTGTAGATGGCAGGAGTCCATCGTAGAGAATATGTGCCACAGCGGTCAACGGCCAGCCTCTGCATTACTGTAGATGTCTGTAGTATGTCTTGGCCCGTGATGAACAAGGGCGATCAATCAACTGGATTCCTGGATACAGAATTCTATCCTTTATATACCAGCACCACGGAAACGGTGCTTTATGGACACCCCTGACTATATATGTATGCCCCATCCATGGTGCTGGTATCAATGATCTGAGTTCCAGGACCTTCCAGGACAATGTGTCTGTAAATAGCCTCTGCTGAGGTGATTCGGGGTGTCCAAAAACCACCGGACTTGGAAGGTGCTGGTTCAGCTCTTTGACCGATCAGTTGGCCAAACTGCCATCTGATTCATCCGCCAAAGGCCTGCAGGCTTCGTTTGGGGTGACCCGGCAAAGCTCGCATTGGACCACTTGCTTAATATCCCCAACACACCGTATATGATATATATGTATATATAGTATCATAAACACTATATTGTTATCATGTAATATGTTTGTAACTATTGTTTTATTGTTTGTTTACATCAACATATCATATATGATATTATGATATGTATGCTCCTGAAACCACCCCAATGTAGGTAACCATGCAGTCTTGGTATGGAAGCTACTAGCGAAACGCCAGGACATACATTGACTAGACTAACTACACCCGCCGTTCCAAGCACCGGCACATCCCTCATGTTAAAAAGACCGCCAACTTGCAACGAGATTGCAAGAGTGGAAATTCCAGCCATGACTCAAACCCAGGCGTACTTACACTCAAAACCGCAAAACAACAAAAACTCACCAGCAGTTCCAAAAGTAGGTTACTTAATGGAGGACAGGATATCAACTTACTTCATCAGGGTCTAAAACCCACCCCTTGGAACTCCTGGTGCGAGAATTTTCTTGGTTTGGCATGTGATTTGACTGAGAGATCTCCAGATAAGCTTCATCTGCAAGCCAAGTGAACCGTCCTTGGTGAGGCCTCAGCTGAGACAAGCCAGAGGTCTCTCTGTCTTGGACAGCTTCTTTTTCCGGCGCTATCTGGAACTCTGACCGCAACTCTTGAAGGTTTGGTGGCAGTTTTGAGGCTAGCGGCTAGTAGGTTGGATGCCATCACTCTTAGGTTGGAGGCCATCGCTCTTAGGTTAGAGGCCATTGCTATTAGCTTCTTTTTGCTACTGCTATTACTGTAGGTTTGGTGGCAGTTTTGAGGCGGTTTTCCTTCTTCTCCATGACCTCAACCTCCTAGGGAGCTGTTCTAAAACATGGGAACTGACTACGACACGCACGGCACCTCAACAAAAACCTCCCAACTGGCAGCTGCGAACCCTCCAAAAAATCCAAGAAGGACAAAACACCCAAGTTGGGGAGGTCTTCCTGGGAATATGTTTTTCAAAAACCTCGACTTTGGCATGTTTTTTCCTCATCGCTGGTTCCGCCATCCCCTTCCATCGCAGCACACCCCCTGACACCAAGGAGCTCAGTGGCAACAGCTTGGGCCTGGAGAGCACCAGCACCTGACGCCGCTGTCGGAACCGCAGAACGACGGGAAGGGGCAGGCGAACAGAACTGGGATACCAAAAGCAAAAATCCTTCGCACGCACACACAGCCACACACCTGGTGTAATTGGTCCCCCTTGTTCCGGTCAAAGCACCCAGCCGTGGCCCGGCCCTTGGACTCCTCGCCCCTGCCCCCCCCCTGCGGCCCGGCGCACCAAGCTTTGGCCGATCTGTCCGGAAGACAAGCGCAAGCGGTGGAGCTCGGTGATCGGCGTGGCCTCTCCTGAGCCGTCCGTTTTGTGCGCGGTACGAGGTACGACAAAGGACTCCCGGCTCGGTAAAAGGAAGAGAAGGGCAGTTGGAAAAAGGAAGCGTTGATCTTCAAAAAGGAAGCTGCCGATATCCGCCTATGCTCTATATGTTTGTCTTGTTTCGTGGGGAAAGCAATTTAGAAGTAAGGTTTCAGCTGGTTTCAGATTATCCACGGAGGCAGGTGGAGGTTGAGGAGTCGAGGGCTGGTTGGATGGCTGCCATTGGGAAGCCAAGAACTTCCGTAACTTGGGCGACCGGCTATTGAAGCTCCTCAAGCCAGGTGAGATTTCCCAAAGGCAGTCGGGGTTACCATGCTAGTACCCAGCGGTAACCAGTGGTTCCGAAGACTAAAACCATAGACCTAGAAGCCCTGCTTCCTTATGTAGTGGTAACTGGGATCCACCGGGTTCCACTCGGTGATGCGAAGGAAGCTCTGCATTGTTTTCATAGGGAGTCCACAAGTTGATGCAACGGCAAAAAGGAGCGCTCAAGTAGTACACTCAGAGCCTCAGAGCAATAACCCCTCAGGGCAGTTTTTTTCTTCATGATGGTTCGTTCCAAGAGCATTCTTCCAGAAGAATTGGTCTATGAGATCTCATATCTACAAGTCTAAACAGTTTGGGGAACTACAGTGGTCCAAACACTCAAACTCTTAAGAAGCAAGGTCTCCCCAAGGTCTGCACCTTTCTGCTCTCCTCAAGGTCTGCCAAACCTCTTCTTCTCAGTACGTAGCCTTCCTCTCCGAACTTGTGGCACGCTTTGGCGCGGACGTCGTTTGAGAAAGCTGGACGATTTTGCAAACATTCCCAGACACTCTCTGGACTGGCATAGGACTGCCGACCCATTGAACCCCCTGGCACCACCCCTGGCCTGATCGGCAGTCCTATGGCAGTCCTAGTTGCTACATCATTCAAGAAGCCTCAATGTTGCTACATGTGTTGCATCTATTTATCTCTCGCTATCTATCTATCTATCTGTCTGTCTGTCTGTCTGTCTATCTATCTGTCTATCATGCAAAAAAAAACACACCATTGATCCACATGCTGCTGTCGCAAACTCAAGGAATCCCATCAACCCCCGCATCGTTCGCCCCTGCGAACGCTGACCACGGCCGCATGGTGCGCACCCGCAGCAAGCCAAGCCGCCATTGATGAATTTTGGTCCCATCAACTCATTATCCCTAAGGATCCGCACCCTCAAAAACAAGGGCTTTGAGGGTACAAACCCTTGTGAACTAGAGGGTTCGACCCCTTCGGATCCTTAGGGACGGATATATCATAACCCCGTCCGGGTCCATGGTTCTACTCTTGTCCGGTCGGTAGAACCAGACCGTCCGGGTCCCGGGAACCTCCGTTTGCCAAGTGGTCTAACTTCTTCCAGTGGTTCTACTCTATGCCCAAGGCACCGTTGAGGGAGACAATCCGGTCATACACGGAGATGGCATGCTGTGGATTCAGCTCGTTGTGCCGTTGAACGAGGCCATCCTCACGGAACAGGACGTGGAAAGAGAAAACGAAGGTAGAAAGCCCACCTGAGAACCGAAGTAGTGACAATATAGATAGATTATGCATGTATAGATGTTGGTTTTATAGACCCCCCTGAAGATGCATGTTCTATCCAATTTAACAACCCTTTGGGTGGTGCTGGCAACCTGGTATAGACTCTACAGTAGTAGATTCTAGTTGGTGCACTACATCAGATTTCATGAATACATGGCCCTGCCATGGTCAGGATCGAACGTAGACCAGGTCATCTCCTCGTGTTTGATCGCTCGCACGGACGCGACGCACCGCCCGTCTGACTGGACTACCCTTCATCCCTCGATCGACCTTCTAAGGGTAGGTCACTGGATAGGCACTGCGACGACTGGATAGGCAGGTGGTGAAGGATCTGGACTCGCACTGCAGAAGAGGACGAAAGATCATTGAGAACAAAACGAAACATGTGGAGCAGAGCAGAGATGTCTATCAGCAACTGGTATCCATGGTCTTTCAATGATCTCCCCTTGGGACACTATACAAAGAGGAGCAAGAAGATTCTGGTCAAAGGCTCACCGGCTCACCAAAAATAGAGCACAAGGAAGCTCGAGAAAGTAAAAAACGCCATAAGTTGGACATGGTTGGATGGGATAGCCCCAAAGAAGTTGGACGTCCAAGGCATCCAAGCAAACGAGGGGCATCGTTCCACAAGTGGCCACTTTTGGCCAATCCACTCAAAATGGTCCTATCCACTCTCCTCAGCTCTTTTCTCCTTCGCCTCCGGCCCCAACCTTTCCCACCATACCCCCCAAAATGGAACCTCCAACTGCCGCACCGCGGTCAGACCTGGTAACACCCACCACCTCCGCCGTCTGTGCATCCCCAAAAACGCACTACGCCGTCCCGCGGAGTCCGAAACCTGGTCCCGGAAAAGGGCTCTGTCCGGTGGGTGCCACTGGGTCCCAGCCTCGCTGATGTGGAGGATCATGGAGCCTCGTAGGTCGGTGTTGTCCACTTCAATGCCCAGTTGCGGCGACGACGCGTTCAAGTCCAGGCTCACGCGAAAGCGGCCTCGGATGGTGGGGCCCCTCCAGACCGAGCGTTCGAGTGTGGTCGGTGGCGGTGGCCGGGTCCTGTTGGGCAAGCCCAGGTGTTGGTTTTTGGGCAGCGACATGCAGCTTGGCCACAAGGCTTTGTCAGCGATGAAGTGTGGTGGGAAGTTTTGGGCATGCGGCCAGCGGCCAGGGGTCAAGGGGGGCAAGGAGGGATGTGTTGCAGTGACGCCAGGTAGGCATCATGGTAGAGGCAGTGACCTCCACAATTTTGGACAGCTTGACGCTTTCGATGCTGAAGTGAGTCTTACCATGACAAGTGTCTTTCTACTAGTCCAAATGCAGAACTCGTGGCATTGCTTCCCCCTTTGCAGTATATTACAACTCGACTGCCTACAACTACACTCCTCAAAACTTACGAGGAAGTAAATCTAGGCGAGGACGCTGTTTACGAGGAAGTTGGTGATCATGTAAAATCCCCCCGGGAATAGACCACAGACAGGTAAGGTTGATTGGGACCATGACTTCCTGGTTAGGTTGATTGGGACATGCTTTAAAACACTTCCTGGTAAACCAAATGGCTGGGTGTCTAGATTTGCTTCCTCGTAAGTTCTGGGGAGTGCACACATGCCATCGATCATGTGCAAGGTGAATTCACAGATACCTGCTTTGATTAGAATACACAAATGCAAATCTAACGAGGAATTTAAAGAACCTCTCTCTCTTGATCCTGTTTAACGAGGAAGTTTACCAAGTTATCACAAAAATTGGTAGGCTTCTTTGTTGGCTAGATGCTTCCGGACATTCTAGTTTTTGCACTGACAAACGAGGAAGTCGAGCAAGTCTAGCAAGTTTAGCATGTCAAACTTACGAGGAAGAAGTCTTTCCCAACTCAAAAATATGACACGCAGAGCCTCCACAGTAAGATGCTAAACGAGGAATATTATAGGGAAACTACTTCCTCGTAAGTTCTGGAGAGAGTAACTAGCGGCTACGCCATAGAGGCCACCGGACGGTTCGGAAGGGAAGCCCCGGATTTTTCCACCATGGCAGCAGTGCCGAAGAGAGTGGAAGTCAGGGCCCACATCCACAGGATGTGACTCTTTTAGCCCCCGGAGGTCCGACTCACTCACTGCGTGTCTTCACTCGCCGGTCCGATCCCGCACTTCTCGCTGTGGTGAGGCACATGTGGCTCCGCTCATCACACACCGCCCCCAAACGATCTGGAAAACCAGCAAAATACCACCAAATGTAGGCCTATATGTCCAGTCACGACGGACTCGACGGGGTGCTGAACTTGGAGGTAGGAGTTGGGTGCCCGGCTCCACTCACTTAGAGACCAAACACCACCCCGACATGTGACCACTGGATATATGGATTCCTTGAGTTGGAGACTTCAGATTTCACTTTCTCCAAGACACCTTGCGTGTCAGTGGGATCCAACACATGAGATGATGGCACCTCAGCGAGCACAATCTCCTCATCGTCGGTGCCACAGCAGCAAAACATGGCCCACCACTCGCTCATGCGGGTGTCGCCGGGATACCGCAAATCGTCCGCTCTAGGAGAGAATTACACGAACGCGCAGGGAGAGCTTTGATTTAGAACCACCCGAACGTGGGTGGTGGTGCTCTGCTGCAAAACATGGCAAAACAAGGTGCAACAACTTGACATCAAATCTTGTTATTTGGTTTGTGCTTGGACCACATGCCTAGCGGGCACCATGCTTGGGCTATAATAAGTGACTCACCTTTCTCTTGAGCCAAGTGAGACTCTTGGCATGCGCGACATTGCTTGGCGACATCCTGAAAGCTGGGTAGCTCTCCTGAAAGCTTGGCCAGGCATTCACTCCGTGTTTTCCGGCTCCATGTTAGCGAGTCACATGGCATATGGTCCGAAAGCCGGTACCCTCTTCGTACTGGGCACAGCGCGACAGAGTGCCGTATGCTGGGTGAAAACAACAAACCACTGCAGCAAAGTCATTCCACCAAGTTACTGAGTCATGCGGATGATATCTCTCTCTCTCTGCCAGCTACGTCATTGGCTAGGCATCACGCACCACAGGAAGTTGAATTATATAAACCACGCGGAGGCCGGTGGCAAAAACACAGCCGGGCGCGGCACACTAGACATCAAGAGGTTCACGTTTCTTTCCAACACACAAGGCCCCTTTCTTGAAGAAGGTCACGGTGGGAGTCGTTGCTTTTTGGACTCATGAGTGTGAATCGCTCAATGCAGCTATCATTATAGCCATAGCTCTAGTCTCCACTTTCGAGTTTACCATGTTGCGCTGCTACCAGTGTTTTCCCCCACCCTCCACGGTCTCGAAAGCAACATGTCGACCGTCCAAAGTAGGATCTGAACAGTTGACTCACTTACGAGAGAGTCCAAACAGGTCGCGCCCGCCACTGCCAGGTCTCCTCTTTTGAACATTGGACCCTAAACATCGAGAAAAAACAACCACATTGCTAACCGGTCCTGGTCGAGTCCAATGCCAATAAAACAAACTTGGAAGGTCCTGCGAGATTAGGACCTTGGGTCCCGTGGGCCTTGGATTCGGTTTTCCTGGCGCCATCTCCCAAGTCCAGGAGCCCCTTCTCTTTGCCTGAGAGGCTCGCAGCTGGACTTGGACCATGTAGGCCTGGCGATGACCAAAACGACCGCCGAAAGATGTGTTCAACACGGTGGACTCCGCCTCCATGTAGTTTTCCGCATGGGGCTTCCGATTTGTTGATATCTTTTTCATATCTTGTTCAGAACATCTTCCTACAACAATGAGAGAACAGAACCTACCAGGACAGTTCTACCTACATCAGGACGGCTTTCCCTACGAGAATGGTAGGTCCAACCATTTTGAGGTCAGATTTCTACATCGAGACAAAAAGAAGCCGCGCATAGTCCACGATTCTGAGGAGGAACATGCGTGGCCGTGGCATCATCTTCCAGAGCTTCGACTTCCAGCGATGCTAAAATCTATTCTGCATGGTCTAGAGATTTGCCGGGGAAGATGGGAGTGGATGGAAGATTAGGCCAAAACGCAACTAGCCAATCTTTGCCAAAAGCATCCAAAAGCCCTTCCAGCTTACTTTTGATCTTTGAGCCGAGGCAAACAGGAGAAAGGTCATGCTCCAGGGTCTAGGCGTGCCTTCCACCACTTGGATCAGCCCAACAACGGCTTTCCGACCTCCATTCCACTCCTGAAAACTAACAGTGGACCCGGGTCGAATGGCACCCAGTTTTCCTCCACAAACTCTACAAACCAGTGGTTTTCAGAGTCTATGTAACCAAACCCCTTCCACCTGTCACCTGTTTATCTTTAGTGGGGTATACGTCCTCCCAAATCAGGTGGTTCAGATCATCCACGGAAGCCCCCCCCCTCGAACGGCCTAACCGCATGACGAAACGTCGTGACGAGTCACGCGGCCTTTCTCCAGGAGCTCTTGCTGGAGCTCACTCGCTTGTCCAGCTGCGGGCTTGGCCACTTGTGGGGACAAGACCTGTGCCTGACACGGTCGACGAAGCTAAGAACTAGACCTGGAACGATCACCATGGAGCCTGATAGCATGGACCGTTGGAAGACCAGCTTCCCCACAAAGCAGTGGTCTTCGGGTTCCATGTTGATCTACCCGGGCGCATATGGCAAAGAATAAGGCATGGCAAGGTGCTCTCTTCTGCAAGGTCAAGTCGTATCTGCCTCTAAGACTAGAGTTCTAGATTGTGGTGACAAGCGCGGATGGAACAGAATAGATTCCAACAATATTCCAAACAGTGGAGCCCCCTATAGTGGACATGGACGAATTCCTTTTGCACCTTCAATACATTAATCCGGACATGGGATTTGTACCTTCAATGTAGGAGTTAATTCTGTTGACTTCATCTACCTGGTTCTTCAAGGTGAACTTGATATCCCACTTTGAGGTCACACAAGGGCCTGTAAGTTTGAAGGGACTCCAGTTCGTTCGGTCTTCTCACTGAAGCTGTCTCGGTCCATTCATTGCATCGACCTGCAGTGGACCTGCGCCAGTGGACGCACCGCACCTTGAGGATCCACAGGATCAACCCGTCTCGATGAGCTGGCAAGATGGGCAAATCTTTTCCTCCTCGGAGCATCGTGGCGCTGCGTTTGGGGGGGCAAAAAGCCAATGACAGGTCACCAGGAGGGATCGGAAGCAGGGAGAAAGCTGAGACGAGAGATACCTACACTCTCGAAAACGATGGATCCAGGGCCGAAGGGCAGCCTCAAAGGCTGTTTTCCTCTACTAGCCAGTGGTTTTCAGGGTCTATGCTTGTTTTCAGTGGGCTGACTATGTGGTACCTCTCTTGAGTGTAGCTGATCATTCAGGCAACGCATGGGATGTGTCGAGGAGCCTACTGGGAGGCCTCTGGACAGGGTTGGTGCTTCGTACCCAGCACCAGGTCCGTGAACGGCTTGGTCCATGGTGAACAGCTTGGGGTCAGCTTGTCAGCTTGGTGAAGAGGTGGATGTTTACATCTTTCAGCTTGGCACCTTCTCTGGAGCAAAGCCGGACAGGGCAACACACAAATATAGGAACTGTTCTGTGGCAAAGTCCAATCTGGCCCACCACATGCCCCGGGTCCCATCTCATAATATTCATCAACTGCATCCGCTCCACCCAGCTCACTCCAAGGGGCGGCTACGGCTGCGGCTTTGCACATCCATCGCCAGTTGTTTCAACTTGGCCTCGCTCATGCCCTCCAGCTCCCCCCTGCTTCGCACGTCCATCCGCACCACGTCCGCGGAGGGCGGGTCCGCGCGCAGGTCGGCGCAGAAAGGGGCCTACCCAGAAACGTTGAAAAGAAACGCGCTGGAATCAACTGCAAAGGCCAGCTGGGGTGACATGCTGGCTGAAGCTGGCAATACATTCCAGTGACCTAACTGATGCAAAAGTCCCATCCAGTGACCTTGTCACCTCAAAGAAGGGAAGAACCAGGTTGATGCAAAGGCTCGTGAGAGACGATGATCGTGTCTTCGTCCTTGAGTCAAAATGACATGTCTCGCATGATCGTGAAGATGGTTGACTGCTGGCAACAGGTAACAGTTCAGCCCTTTACATGCTATGAAATCCACGCCAGGCCTGATAGGTGTTCAATGCTGTTCCACACCTTTTCATACTGGAATCCCTCAGTTTCCATGGAACATAAAAAGTAGTTCTAACCTGTTTCCACCCTTTCGTTGACTGAGGACACCAATCCGACCAAAAAGGGCTTATGAATGTTATCCACTTGTCCTGGGTGGGGGTATACCGGTATACCAAACATATCCCAACATGCCCTCTCCCAAAAAAGAGCCTGCCTCAGCAACCATTGACTCCACCCACCGTTTTAAGCTGGTTGGTGGTTGAAACCACTCATGAACCCCCCAAAAACCGATGAGTGAGTGGCTTCCATCATCCCTTGAAAGTAAGAGCTTGAACACCCCAAGTATATCCGACCCATTCCGACCCTAAAGGATCCGAACGGACCCTCCATGGCAAAAGGGGGTCGAACCCTCTATCACAAGGGTGACAGGGGCCCCTCACCAAACCCCTTGTCTTTTGAGGGTGCGGATCCTTAAGGGGACCAGCTTTTTGCTGCGTCCGGAGGAATCTCCGAATCGCTGTAGCTCCGAATCGCACGGTTCCAGCTGAGGCATGCTGAGGCCACCTAGCGACCAACAGAGGTTTTGGCAAAGCCCGACGATCATCGACGACTACTACTACTACTACTACTACTACTACTACTATACCATACTTAGGTACCCCAGGTGACGGTTCGGGTCCTGTTATTTTCAGGTCACTTATAAACCTCCGTTGTTATAGGTCAGGCACTTCCACTTCCTTCCAGGCTTTCTGCTGCGCCTGCACCGCCCGAAGCCTCAACCCGCTGCGCCCCTGGAGCGGCCCGGCACGGCCCAGTGGCACCGAGGGCGGCACGCCATCTGGCGCGCGCAAGCCCTGAGACTCCAAGCCTGGCGAAGCGGAGAGAGTTGACTCAGGGGGTGGACTGAAGAAGTGACTTTCTAGAGAGAAGAGGGCTGGAAGATAGTTGGATGAGCTGAACCTATCCAAGATCTTCCAGCCTTTTTGAACAAAGGGTGAGCGGGAATGGTTGGAATATGTTGGAATGGTTGGCCTGGAAAAAGGGATGCATGCATGTGTTCTTTGACGGATGTTGTTTTTGCATGATTCAGGTGTGTCCGTCATCGATATCCAGGGGATGTGCTGTGGTATTCCAAGCTCACGCATTCGCAATCATTCACATATGAGCTGCGGACAATATATTACTTGTGTAGTCATAGGCCATTGGACATGGTTATCGTTTTTTTTTTGTGGGTGTGGGGTCCATATTGTTAGACCAATATTGTGAGTCTAGCATCAACATCATCAACAATACAATGTGTCATTGGAAGCTCGTTTTGAGTGAAGGCACAATCTGATCCAGCATGTATATAGGCCGCAATAAGCTATATCATGTCTTGTTTGGGGTCAGCACTCTCTACCATCAAGTGTGACAACTTACTGTCACTACCCTGAGCTATGTCAAACTGCACGGTATCTCCTGTATAGAAGCCGCTGCAGCCAATCGTGCTCATGGCACCAACGCCATGCGTGTGCTAAGGACTTGATGAGAAATTCAACATAATTTGGATGCCAAAAAAACACATTAACACTACATTTACACAAGGAAACATATTAACACTTGAAGACTTGAAGATTCCTTTTCTGGCCGGGGGTCATAGGATGTTCGCGGGCAAATGAAAGAAAGTGATACTTCTTCCTACAAGGCCTGCGGGCAAAGCATAAGCATTATATATCTGGCACTTCTCTTCAAGCAAAGTGAAAGCCAGATATCCACATGAATTAGATATCGAATTTGGTGCACTCTTTGGAGCCACAATAGAGCCGCAGCGCGATCCGATGTCGAATCGTTTGAGAACATGTGCTTTTTTAAGTGTCACTTCCCGGTCAAAATCATGCGACTTTTGAAAACATTGTCCGTTGCCTTGGGGGAAAAAAAACGCACCAATCCCTCGGCAGAAGTCGTCGCTGGCTGAGAACGCAGGAGATGCCCGACGACTGCATTTGATGCTCCTCCGAAGCCTGTGAGAGTGACCCCAAGTGCTGAAGCGCCCTATAGGAGAGAAAATGACATGCCAATATACTCATTGAAAGCGTGTTCAAAGCTTTCTGTCCCGTATATTGTCCCGTTCTTCTCACCTCAAACCAGGTCAAGTCCGCATCTCAGGAAAAATCCGGTCCCTGAGGAGTCACACGTTGAGGTAAAGCTTCTCCAACGGAGCCTCGTGTGGTCGCGCCCAGCCCAGCCCAACCCGCCCAAGCAGCACCTATGGGAGATCGATGGTCTAGGAGTCTAGGAGACTGTTGCCATTTGCAAGGCAAAGAGTAGTCTTCTACCCTGGTTCTTCAAAGTGACCTTTTGATAATCTGGTTTAAGGCCTCCTAAGGGTCATGAAAAGGAACCTTCAAAAGGTCACGAACTGAAGAAGCTGGTAGCATAGCGGCTATCGTCATATGGATGACAAAGAGACCTCTCCCTCTCTCTCCACAGACTGGTATAATAGGGTGTCGTTCCGTGTCTGTAGCCATTTCATGCTACTTCTACATCTGTTGTGTACTGTTCAATTATTCTATTGGAACAAGGTGCCTACAACCAGTCATCAAGCTCCTTTTTTTCGCAAGACACTGACTTGTCTGCAACTTTTGGGAGCAACATTTTTGTCCAAAGGGTGGGACTTCTCCGCAGGCCGACCATCGCTCAACATGGATCCAACACTGGCCAGTTTTTTCACCTGAGAGCAACTGCCACTTTAGTGCCTTGCTCTTTCCGGGAGCTACGCCCCCCTCTCCCACAGACGGACCAGGGCCCTATAGAGGCGCCTGCTCAATTTCGGGCGGATCATACTGCGCCATGTGCTGAGTGTAGAAGCTCCTGACTGCGAGACTCGGGCGAGACGGTGGAGGACAACGGTAGAGGCGAGACTGCCTGGTCTCACAAACGCACGGGAGCATGCATGCGCATGGCCGCCAAGGACCTTCGATGCTTTAAATATCAAGTCTACTGCCTAAGAGTAAATGTGTGAGATTGCAAGTCGAGAATCTCATGGATGAAAAGACCTCCAGCCATACAAAAGCCACACACTTAGAAACTCTAGATCGTTGAGACTACAAACCCCTAGGGATCCAAGTACCTCCTCAAAAGGTACTTGGACCCTCCAAACCCACCCCAAACACCTTCTCAGAGGGTACTTGGATCCTTAGGGAACTTTTATTAGGCTTTGAGAGGTCAAGCACCCCGCTTGATGCCATCCAACTGCCCCAACAGTCATCTTGATCCCTAGGGCTCCAGTCGTACCGCTGACTGGTGCTTAATAGGGAATGAGGGAATGAGCCCCCAATAGAGATTCCTTTGTAACTCATTCCCTACTAAGCACCAGTCAGATTGGGTGCCCCACCCCAGTTCCAGTACAACTCGTTTCACGAAGCTACGACGTACTGGAGCCTTCCCGTTGCTCGCGCCTGGGTACCAGTCTGATGGACACACCCGGGTACACGCGGCCTCGGAGGCGTGGAGATAGGTTTCAGAAGTCGGACGGCACCTGGGTCTGACCCAACTGGCTTCCCTCTATGGTCATCCTAAGAACAAATAGGAAAAAGACACTGAGAATGAGAAGTTGGTCATAGTTTTCGGATTGGGATCTATTGTCTAATTGCTTCAGGATGGTTGTAACATGTTGTATGCAGTTGTATATCTCATATCTAAGTTGTATACAGTATATCTTCATCTGCATCTCTTCAAGTCATGGGACAGCTTCAACTGCCCAACATGGCCAGTGGAACATCGACCCGCCCACGCCCACGCCCGAGCGAGGGGTTGGCCTGCACGTCCTGAACGTTGTGAGGCTGATGCATGTGAGACCCACCTGAGATCCGACGATTTCGAAGGCGCCAAGGAAGAAAGGCGGCGGAAAAAAGAACTTCAAGGATCGTGAGGCTGTGAGTTCAGATATGTGAAGATACTTAAAACATCTAGGTTCGATCGCTAGCTCAGGAGGTTGTCCTTGTTTCAGGATTTTACATGAAACTGTGCTGTTCTACTTGGGACGACGGGTGTTGTTGTTTTTTTTTTTGGTTGAATCTCTCATGATTGTCCGTCCCCCAGCACGAGTCGGGCATTTCTCACCAGCTGGCCCTGTCTGCTTGGCAGATCAAGGCGAAAAAGACGGAAGCACCAGCCCTTGCAGCTTGGCTTCGAAACCCCTAACAACTTGGATCCTCGATGCATTCAGCAGATTCATTGAATCAATCACTGAATGTCAAGCCATCTGTGCTCAAGAGGATGGACTCTTTTTCAGAAAGCTGAGATAGTGATAGTGCTTCCATGTGCTTCCCCAAAATCATCTGCTCTTGCTTCTGAGATCCACTGGCTACGAAAATTGCTAGGTCCAATCGATCGATGCTTCTCATCCGTTGTACTCTTAAGATGCATCACTGGTGCGCGAGAAACCACCAGAAAGCGGCGCGGAACAGGACAAAAAGCATGGCATGTGCTCAGCTCATGGTGAGCTCCTTCTGTTTCACCAAGCTCCTCTGGAGCTCCCCTACCTTCTCTGAGAGCTGATCACCATTGCGAGGCAACAGCTGGGCCTCCCTCCTCAGGTGCCGGGCTTTATGAGCATGTGGCAACTTGTGGTACACTCCCCGAAACAAACATGGAAGTGGGTGGCATGGACGGGGGTTTTCCACTTCCATGTTGGCTCCATGTTGGGGCAATCAAATCGACCCATGTTGGCTCAGAAAGCATGCTTTCTGTTCGCCCAGGGCAACTTGACCCGAAGAAAAACATGATACATGTGGGTCAACTGGTCCACAGTTGCCGAACAGGCCACAACCAAAGGGTGGAATCACGGCCGCCCAGACAGAGGAATCCTGAAGTTCTTGGAAAAAAAACGGTTGTAGCCGAACAGGATCCGACGGCGAATGAAAGACGCCTACGGACCTCATGGGCCTCTGAAGAGGCCCATGACTTGTGACGTTCAACTCTCCAAAGAGCCCCGGGGTGTTGTGTCATAGAAGTGACATGGCCACGGAGAGCGAACAACAAACAAATCAACACGACAGACTCGATATCAGGGCAGGGCATCCAAGCAACCAACGACACAAAAAGGGGCAACCAACGCCAACATTGAGAATAAGAACATGCAACACTGCAGCTACTTCTAAACCACATGAAGCTCTGTTATTGATATGACAACTTATACAACATCATACAACCAACCTAATTACACTACCACTGTTCCCCAAAACGCACACTTAGATACTCCAAGCATCAAGGCAGCCTGGCAAAGCTCCTGAGCTTCTTGTTCCTTCCCCTCCACTGCAGCGGCTGCAGCTTCGATGTAGCTCGCGAAGGCCGAGATCCGTGTGGCCGCCACGCCCAAGGTCTTGCGCACGTAGCGCCGTAAGAGTTGCGCCGCTGCCTGGGCAGGGCAACACTGCTCCGAAACGAGCTTCATATCGGTCCCTAGCGATCCAAGTACCTTCTCAGAAGGTGTTTGGGGTGGGTTTGGAGGGTCCAAGTGCCTTCTGAGAAGGTACTTGGATCCCTAGGCGGTGTACATGCATGCCCTAAGAATCCTTGGGCTGTCCATGACAGGGGTCAGACTCGACACCTTCGCAGGGGTCCGGGGCCGAAACCAAACCCTATCTGTTGCTTCGGGCCCGGATTCTTAGGGTGAGGTAAAAGTTACTTTTTGCATTCGGAGAGCTAAGTGCCTGAGTGACATCGAGCCCTTAAGACGAAACAAACACCATGGACTCTTCTTGTCCGAAGCAATCAGACCTGCTTGACACATGCATGTCCAGTTTGCTTGGATTTGATGCTTTCGGGCTGGACGTTACATGACCGGTTGCTGTCAGAAGTGAAGCCTAATACTTGGATTCTTCTAGTACTCTAACTCCCTCCGTCGAACTTTTGACTCCAAACTTCCTCCGTTCTCCTGGCGACAAATCCAAGGTGCTCGGGCGTCTTGCACTCGCTCTTGACGGATGAGCTCCTCCGCTGCCAGGCGAGCCAACTTGGCGCTGATCCAATGGCCATCCAAGGCTGGAACGATGGACTCCGTCTCTGCGGCTTGGTCGACCAAGCCGTCATACCTGTTCTTTTGAGGGAGGATGTTGGTGTGGTGTGAGAGCTCCGGCCCGGAGCTCTTTGTTTTATATGTAAAGGACATATGGTTGGACAAGTGCGGAAGTTGTTTGTAACAACAGTAGCACTTGGCGGACGAAGCCCTCAACAAAAAGAAAGGTCAAAGCTTCAAGTCTGGCAATAGATAGGACCGGATGCATGGCTAAGGCAATCTGCGACAAGTGCTTGGTTCTTTCAGGTCTCAAGGAGAAGACGTGCTCTTGCCATAGCTCTTCAGTTCCAAGCAGGGTCTCCTCTGGAAGCACTGCCTTGCAGCAATTGCAAGGACCTCAGATTGGTCTTCGAAACGTTAAATCTTTCTTTGTGAAAGTGAAGGTGATCAATGACTGAACATGGCCGTGATTGGCCGTGGGTCAAAACTGGGATACGTTGGTAACACGAGGGGCAAGCAGCAGCTACATTGGGAAACAGGCCCCAGGTTTGGATCCACATCTCAACAGGGCTTTCCCAACCAAGTCAGCTCATCCAAAGCATTGCAGACTAATACCCAGACACTCCATGGGACTGCCATATATGCAATGCCAGGGGGGTCAATGGGTCGGTAGTCCTATGGCAGTCCCAAACAGGTCGTGTCTGGGATATGACTCCCAGCCACCCCAGCGGTGGCCGGGTCCGACCTCAGAAGCCTCATACTTCATCACACCAGATCCACAGCTACATCGAAAGCCTCGGGTATCTTCCGCAGCTCCACAGCGCTCGCCTTGGCATTTTGCTGGTCCAGCCGCGAGAAAAATAGAAGACATTAATAAAAACGATTTCAGTTTCTGGGGATTCACCCCGGAACCGGGACAAGTCTTAAGAAACCATCTTTCGCCGTTGGCCGGGGATTCTCACCCAGCTCTGGAATAATCGGAATATGTTAACAACTATGCTAAAACTCTTAACCAAAAAACACTCCTAAAGCCAAAAACCCAGGTCGCAGTTGCAGGTGAATCCCCAGTGCCCGAGCTGCTCCTGTCGGTGTGGGCGAGGGCGCAAGAGATCTCCCTCGCCGATGTAGGAGACGAAGACCGCTTCACCTGCTGAGTTCGGTAGGGCCGTGGGGGCGCCCCCATGTGCCCCCCCCTGGTGGAAAAGGGGAGGCCAAGGGGGGTGGATCTGGAGAGTCTTTTTGGGGCAAGATCCTTTTTGGGAAGGTCCAGGGAACTATCAACAAGAATTCTTGTTTGATATTGCTTGTTTGATCTGTTTTTTTGTTTCGGTCCATCGCTAAAAAGAAAGAAGACTTGCACAGGAAATGCACAGACGGAACGTGCGCGGCTCACCTGGATGCAAGTCTCTCAAAGCTTTCAGGTGCATGGTGCCGTCCTCTTGGACGCACAACGCGGCATTGGGCTTGCAGCTGTGATTGGCTCTGCACGACACAGCGTAGACGGCGCCGCCGCTGCCAGCGGATTCCCTCACTGCCACAGAGTTGGTGCGTAGAACCCGCACGAAGCGTAAGTTGTCCCCTTCAAAGCCGACCTCTTTCCTGAAACGGGGCTGCTTAACGAGCCCCGAACCAGGGCGGCAAAATATGCAAAGCAGCGCCTCTCTGAAACAAAGCTCATACTATACAAGTTTGGTTCCACAAGTGCTGTCAGGCGTGGGTCAAGGCTCAATTGATATGTGCTGGAACCCATAGTGGGGGAATCGCCCAAGGATTGAATGTCAAGAAAAGGTCTTGGTGTTATCATGTGTTATCCATGGTTCTCAGGCACTCCAGGTGACGCAGCTAGGCTCAGCAATAGCTTTCTCTTCGCTTCTGTCATCTGATTAAAGGCTAGCACGGAGTCAGCCAGAGAGTGTCCATGTGGCCGATGGAACAGCGGGGCTTCTTCTATTAGAAGACTTCCAGCTGTGGCACCCTGGGGCACCACCAAACCTAAGCCCACCTCATCACTCACCTTCACCACTTCGACCAATGGAACGCCGTTGCTGGCGACGCCAGGGACCCTGCTGCACTCCTGCAGGATGCATAAAAAGCGCATAATGTGTTCTTGTTGGGGGGAACGTGCTTTCCTTGTTCTATGATTCGTTGGCATTGGAGTATATATTGGAATATGATCTGCAATGATCCTTTCGGGATCACCTTCTTGGGGCCCAACCAGCTGCAAAAAAAAGACCGTGTCACCTCAATGAGAGGGGTTCACCTCCTGTGACATCCCGTGGCGGCCACCTTGTCGTCTTGACTTCGCTTGCGACTCACTCGAGCACTGCTCCGCACCGAGCTGAGGCCGACGGCGCCGAGGCCCAGCAAGCGAAGGACGCGGACGAAGTGTGGAGCGAAGCTCGACGCAGCGGGTTGGAGCACGGAGCTGGAGCTCCAATGGGTCCCCTTCACAGTGATGCGTGCTGCGAGCTGGAGACTGCGGCGAGGTCCAGGTGTGAGAGGTGCCGTCGCCATGGCACGCACGCGCCGCCGGCAAATGCTGATGCGCCAGCTTGCTGGAGCCACCGAGCTGAAGCCACCTTGCAGCCAATTGAAAAAGAGCTTGACCGCCCAGTCAGGTGAAAAACAAGGCTTTTGGGAAGCTTGGGAGCTCGGTACATCCGTACCAAAAACAAACGCCAAACTAGAGCTGCACCACTGACTGGAAGTGGAGATGTTGAGATGGAGTTGGGGTACGAATCACATCTGCATCAAGGAGCCCGTTGGCACAACATCCCAAACCCCCTCAGATGAATGCTTATGTTATATATTATGTGTATATATATATATACCTTCTCTCTGCTTCTTTCAACAAATGCATCAAACACTAGCGAATGACGTCCTACCACTACCAAGCCAAATGCATTTGGCTTCGGGGGGTGGCGCGGGGTTTCTTCCATCCATCCATTGCCTTCACTCCCCTCCCAGCTTGGTCGGTCTAACCCCGCGGTCAGAATTCAAGGCACTGGGTCAGCAAACAGCTCACCCCTTGTCGGGAGGGAGCCATCTGTCGCCGCAAACAGGTATCGATCACCACCCGCACCTGGCGGCGCCGCAGGTGGCGCTGTGGGGACCGGTGTGGAGCGTTTGGAGGAGTGGACATCTGCAAGAACTCACGAAAAAAGGCAAACAGAGTTCTTTATGATTTTGCCTTGTAATGAACTGCTTTATATGATTTTGGTTTGTAATCTTTACATGTTGAAAGGGGGCAAGCAGCTCTCAAGGTAAGGTTTTTAAGAATACGCAGCTCTGGTAGCTGATCCTGACTCATAGATGGTCTCAGATGCAACAAGTCCTAGTCCTACTCCTACCTGTTTCCATGTTGTTTGTTTTCCATGTTGTCTAGTCTTGTCTGCCTTCGGCAGGGTGACGGAAGACTCTGCGATGGTGGACGCTAGGAAGATGTGGCAAACCTCAGTGTCATCGGTGCGGCAAGGTGTTCACAGTGGTTTCAGAGTAGATGGCACAAACCCCATGATGTCTTTTAGATGAGGGTACCTACAAAACCACCTCTTGGGGTCTGTGCCATCTACTCTCAATCCGCACCAAAGCCCCCAAAGACTGGTGGATGATCAAAGTTATATGATTGTGTCCAGAGTCATGAGTCATGCGACATGCTGCAGAAGACTGCATCTCGCCTCAAACAAAGGGCCTCGGCATCCAACGCACGATACATTGGTATATATCCCATTACAAGTGAGAGTTGACAATGGTTGGGTGAGGTTGAAGGCCTAGTTGATCATATTTCATATTTTGCTGAAGGTTATTGGCTTCCAGGGCCACACCCCACCCTAGCCTTCTGAGACCATCAACTAACAGAAAGGTTGACCTGTTTTTGTAGTGCACAATCCTTAGTAAACCAACGGTTGTTAGGCTTAGGTGAAGACTATTAAATCAATGGTGTCTGGGCCTAACAATATCCATCTTGATTGTACGCATGCACCGCAGGTCTTGGCTTAGCTCAACCATTTCCGCAGGGATGACATGGCGATGAGTCCGCGTCTCACTTCCTGCCAAGGGCACGTTCTCCGGTGGAGGTTGAAACGCCTGACGCAGGGTTGCGTCCCATCCAAGACTCCCAAAAGGGACCAGCTGAAGAAGGGAACCAAAACTATATACAATTCTAGGGGTCCCCAAATAGATAGAAACGGTTTCCAATATATACATCTTTAGTTGACATGTACTTTTCTATCTATGTGGGAGTTTGTATACACCCCTTGGCAGACTACAGTGTAATGATATCGATGGTGACAAGGATCACAATACCCTAGGGCTCCAACCATATCCTCAGAAGGTGTTTAGACCCTCCAAACCCACCCCAACCATCTTCTCAGGAGGTGGTTGGAGCCCTAGGGATATATCACCATGAAATGGATGGCCGCGTTCCTTCTTGTCCAGGTTCCAGTCGAGAAAATTTTCACACCCGGCCCGGTTTCTTCTCGAGGCCATGTCAAGGAGTCATGGGCAGTCGCAGCCATGTCAAGGCCACTTGTCACACAAGCTTCTTGGGTGACGAAGTGTAACAGCATGTGCTAGGAAGATACTGGGAAGTGTAGGAACTCTTAGCAAGTCTGGGATACAAAAGGATGCAAACTTCTTCTGGGACTTGTAGCATCTTGTATGCTGGCTGTACTCCACAAGCGGTCCATTTGTGACAGTCGGTCCTGATAAAGGGTTTTGGTATGTCCGACGCGCCCACTGTGTGTTTTTTGTTTCGACTCCGCCTGCTCTTGCTCATCCATGGGAATGGTGCTGTGCAGCACGAAGATCTTGAAACTCAGCCGCGCCATCGGGAACGTCAAATCTGGCGACGATCCTCCAAATCATGTTTGTTTAGCAAACCAGGATCCATAATTATCATAATTAATCATTTCCAGTAGCTTGACCCACAGCTTGATCTCTTGATTTGCATGAACATGCATGAACTCACCATCCCTTGACCCATCTCCCAAGAAATCACTCCGACGGAAGCAGCAAACAAAACACTCCAGCCAACCAAGCGTGAAGTCAATAGGTACCGAAACGGACCGAAAGCGATAGCCTCTACGCCTGCAGTGGCATCTTTACTGATCAGTTGGGTGTGGTTGACCAGGGTTCAATGTCTGAAACGCATATTGTGTTCCGGTCCCATGAAGAACCTGGGATATGTATCTGTCATTATCTTTCTGTTCCCACCATTGGCGGGTTAACAAGTGGTCTGGAGAGTGATGTGTCGACATGTTCAAGTTCTGTTGGGGCTACTTATATAAAAACATTATAAAACAATACAACAATCATCCTACATGCCAAAATCATTGATCCCCCTGTGCATGACCCGGGATAGGTTGTGCTAAGCATTTTGCAGTGATAAATCGAAAAACTTGACCTCCAGGTGCCTACAGACGTGTCACTCTACAAAATGGGCACGCTGCAAAGGGGAATAGATAGAGATCTGGTGAGGAAATGATCTACAAGTGCCCGAAGCTGTGCATAATACATCTGTAGAGATGCAAGTTCTTGCAAGTCGACTAGAGCTAGAGTTCAATCTGGCAAAAAAAAAGACCCATCGCCCTTGCACAAGTTTGCCTGCAAAATAATTGCAAAGTCTTCTACACAATGCATTCCGGCGTGTTCCAAACCACCTGAAATAGGAATTTCCACAGTTGCCTACGGAATCGCAAGTCTCCAAATCAGCATTTTGTGGGTGCACTTAGGTTTGCTCTCTACAAAATGCCAAACCTCAAAATGCAGGACAAGTCTTACTAGTATAAAGGAATGCCTTATTCCAGTGGTCAACACGTCTCATTCTGCAGAGAGAGCGTGCGGGAGGATATTAAGTTGTAGACATAGAGAATGCAATGCTGGTGGCTGATGACTTGGCCGATGGATTCCCGCAGGTGGGGCACCTCCAACATCTTCGGAAAGCCCTCCACCCCCCTGCAGGGGTGCGTCCACGTGCACGTCCACGTCCATCGCGTTCGCCGCGCTCTGCGGCAACCCAGCTCGCAGGTGGTCCGCCGTGTGGGGTTTAAACCTCCCATGAATTGAAGCGGCCGCGAGCGGGGACAGATTTCAAGGACATATCTCCCTGAGGATCCATGGTGGCGTAAATATGACCGACATGCACCACCAAAAGCCAGCAAATGTTGGCCATATTTGCGCCACCATGGATCGTTTGGGCATGTATGATATGTGCAACCTAGTAGAGATGGCCTCCAACCTACTAGAGATGGCGTCCAACCTATAGTAGAGATGGCCTCCAACCTACTAGAGATGGCCTCCAACCTGATAGCGGTGGTCGCAAGGGGGACAAACTTCAAGGACAAAGGTGCAGGACCGGGTTTTGCTTGAGATTGAGCGTCCGGATTGGATTGGAAGAGTTGGAGGGACCAACTGTTTACCGCCGACATGTTATGTCGAAGTTCTGTGAACGCATAATGGGCATAATGATAATGATAAACCTCACACCTCAATGACTCAAAATAGAAGTGTTTGAAGGCAATTCTTTTGGATAAAAAGGAAGCTCGGAAATGGTTCCTCTTGACCGAACAAGATAGCACGGGGATCAGTTGAGACTTGGCGGCTTTCTGCTTGGTTCCGTTTCTTTCGCACGTCAGGGTTGCACCAAAGAAAATAATTCAACGAAGGACGGGTAAACTCCGGTTCTATGGAAGAATGCCCAACACCTGCAGCAGTTTATCAGAAGGATTGATCGTTACCAAACATTTGCAAACACCAAGGATTCCAGGGGAACCAGGGTGGAGCAGGAAATTCTTGACACCAAAGGGCACCTTGTTATGTACATTGTTCCTTCATGTCAGCATTGGCATGCGTCCTTTTCTTCTCCACTGCCACGGAACGATCTCAGGTCTTTTGCATGGAGACTCCGCCTCAGTCCTAGCGCTCACGACTACGGCTCCGGCGCGGCGCATAGCCACGACGCTTGGCGGCGGTGACCCGCATGAATTGCCGCGCGACTTCGGCTGGATCATCGGCACCTTTGGCAAAGTCCCAATTCTTCCAACACTTCCTGGGTGGCATCTGGTCGCATCCAAATCCATGAGGAGTGTGGTGTTTTTGCAGGATAGCGAGTGGACACGAACCTCTGGGGACCCCAACTCGTTGGGTTTGGTAGTGCCCACATCTGTCGACCAACATCTTGGGGGGGTTGTGAATGGTTTTGATTGGATTATGGAGGAGCTCTAAGCATCTCCAACTTGCTTTGGAAACTTCTGGGGTCTCCTTACTTGGCGGAGTGGGATATCCCAAAAGATCCCAAAAGTGTCATATTCATATGCGACTTCTTTTACTTGCCGTGAGCCTCAACATGCCTTAAAGCCTCAACATGCCTCAACTCCAACCTTTGGGGAGATGCTTCAACTTGAGTGGGGGGGGACTCCAAAGGGCTCCAAGCTTCTCAAAGCCACTGCCAGGAGCGTCATCCAACAAAGCTCGTTCGTCTCGGTCTCGGTCTTTAGGTCGAGTTGAAGTCCTCACCCGCGGCAGTTGCGCTTTCTCCTTCCGCTCCTCTGAAGTGTTCTGCACTTTGGCCTTCTCTTCTTCCTCGAAGTCATCGGCCGAGAGGGCAAAAACACCTCCCAGGTTCTTCCGCCGCTCGTTCTCCTGCTTCCGGCGCTTCTCCTGGGTTTCCTTCAAGAGCTGCAGCTGTCGTCTCTCTTCTTCAATCCTGCGAGCCTCTCGTGCCTGGGCTTCAGACCACTGATCCATCTCTGGAGAACGACTCAGCTGTCGTCTTGCTTCAGGCGATCGTGAGACCACTTTCCGCGGACTGGGACTCCGGGGACTCCGTGACGCCCTCGGCAGCACGTCGACCGGGACCGGCTCGCGGACCTCCTCGGGGGCCTCCGAGGGCTCCGACCCCGCGCGCGAGAGCGAGACAACCCGCTTCCGGCGACTCCTCGAGCGGCTGGGGCGAGCTGCTCGCGGGTGAGATGGAGAGGTCCTGTGGCAGGAGCTTTGGACCGAAGTAGAAGCCTTCAAAAGAGACCCCTTGGTTGACTGTAATCAAAAATGATTATAATATAGATGTATAGATATATATAGAGTACGATCAAGTTTCTATAGATGCATGTGGAATTGAATTAGACCAAACATGTATGCCCGCGTTCGTCCTCTTTTTCTTCTTGCTTTCCTTCTTCTGCGGCGCCTTGGATTCTGCCTTGGGCTTCGCCTTGCTCTTCGGTTTCCTTCGCACCACCTCCGCCCCCAGCATCGCCTCTCGTCCGACATTGGGGATGAGATGAGGCCCTTGGATGTGGTGGGTCAAGCCACCCGAACGAGCTCCAGGTAGCCGGCTCGACATGGCCAAGGGTGTTGGAGGAGGTGCGTGGCTGCGTGGAACTCAAGGGCCAAGGGTGAAAGGAAACCCCGGAGAGTGTAAATGACAGACTGTGAGACTTATGCATACATACTGCAAAGCCCTGCCATAACACACATCACCAGCATGATCAAGTCTTACATCATTTAGCATTTGTTATGCATTTTTGGAACTGCAGGTGAAAACATCATCTGAACTGAGTGCACGCCTTATAGCCTGATTTAAACATTATTCATGGCGCATGCCAGGACCTGAACCCCCCGCCGAATGAGGAATCTTGTCATCTTGTTGGGTCAGTCACCGCAATCCTCTGCAACCCAGTGGTTTTGAGAGCCCATGTCAATCTGCAGGGGGGGTGTCAAGAAGGCATGCAGGTTGTCCCTGATGTTTTCGTGCTGTCTATGATGTTGCACGGTTGCTTGAAAACACTCTCCATGACCAGTCTGAGCCCGCTCCGGCAAGTGCAAATCAGGAAGTACAACTCGCATTGCAAATCGTACTAGTTTCACTGCTCTGAGAGTCGAGGCACACCCATCTCCCACAGTTCGAAGCCTCTACACCAAGCCAATTTCGGTGCCCCCGACAAACACTTCTGATCAATTTTGCAGGCTCATCTCAGCACCACCTCCAGAGGTGCATCGGATCGCAGCCTTTAAGGCCCCCGGCGATCGGAAAATCCGATGAGTTGTTGTGCGAATGAAGGATGAATCAAGGACATCTCCAAACAAAACGCCCTCGATCAAAGCCCTTCGTTCGGCGCCACATGGAGTCGTTTTCGTGCATAACCACGGCAAGCTCTTGATATTCTCTAGATCATTCTAGATCTATAGATATCGAAGTGTTTTCTTTGCCAGTTTCAAGATGCTTCAAGTTTGGGACTTCAGCCAGATCCCCTTGGATCAAAACGAAAGCCCTTGTGCAAATCATGTGAAGCATGTGTAACTATGTGTAACTAAGTCAGTAAAAAGGTTACAGTATACCAATGTATACCATCTTAAGCCATTTAGCAAGTCTGGCGCGATCACCGCTAGCTCACACCTCTGTGCCACTTCATCACTGAATCCTGCGTCCGAGCGCAATACCAAGGCCATGCTCAAATCACCAAAGTGTTGCTCTCCCGCCACCTGGCAATGGTTGCTGGATCGTTCACCAATGCCGTGGTTCGACATGTTTGGGTCAGGAGGGGTTGCAGCTGCCGAATGTCTTCCTTCAGCAGCACCATTTGCGCAACCCCCATGTACAACCACATGAGGAATATGGTGGCACCCAAGCTCAATTCAAACAACTACAGAACTTGGCTGGAGGTCAGGAGAGTGTGGCTTAGCAGCTTTGCATCTTCTATGTAGGTGAAGACCTGACCACAAGTATCCACAAGTGTCAGCCATTGGAAACGGCGCCACGATCTATTTAAGACATTTCATCTAGACCTGCACAGAATCACTCTTGGCTAAACCCTCGTCCAGTCCTCGTGAGGGCCGGGTCTATCACCCAGTCCCCGCCCTTGCGCCGTCCGAGTTCAGGTCACTGGCTACCATCTAGGGCGCTCTGTACTATATCAAATGTACATGCTTAATTGGTGGACTTGGTCTCTTTGGGTTTCAAAAGCTCTGTTCTGTTCAAAAGCTCTGTCAGGTCACTGGTTCAGCTCTGTTGGTCTCTTTGGGTTTCTGATCCTCCAAGAAGTTCCGCACCCACCGCGCCGCGCCGGGCGCCTCGCCATGAAGCTCTGCCAGTTCCGCTGCCAGCGCTGCAAGGCCTCGGTCTTCTCCTTGGGTGCCAGGCCGCTGTAGGCGATCCTCAGGATGCGGCGGATTGAATGGCGCGTAGATAGGTCACCGGAGGTAGTGCGGGAAGCGAGAGAACACACAGGGCACTACTATACGGGTATCCTCTGATGAGGAAGGATTTGTGCGTCTGAAGGGTTTGGATTGTAGGTGCAGGAACTCCTAACACGGAGTGACTCAACCACGATTGTAGTAAGGATGCTAGAATATCTAGAATTGGCATGTGAGTCCGTTAGCGCCTTAGTCAACATACCCTAGGGCTCCAACCATATCAAGCACGGAATCAATTCAATTCCTCGATCCATCATGCACACATATGCACACTCAATACCAGAACCTGCCTTTCACCTGAGCCTTTTCACCTTTTTGTGACAAAATGTCCTGGGAAGATCTCAAGTTCGGTCGCTTTGAAGGTCCTGTTGAGCAGCAACTCAGAGATGCCTTTCAACCCAAGCCTCGAGTTCCGTGCCAACGTCTTCAGCGCTCGCGTGTTCAGCTGCCAGGCCACCGCCACCTCTGTCTTCAGTGCAAGGGAAGGGTCGAGCTTAGCCGGGCAGGCGGGTCGCATCCATCGTCACACAGTGTGTGATGCACAGTGTTGAGATGTGACTAGAAGAGACCAAAGTGATTTTGCATGATTCGGCCATGCTGAGGATATCCTGTCCACCTGCCAGTGCCTGATCCTTTCAGATCGTTCCATGTTGCACCGCATCCAAATCGACCAAAACCCGCGCCACAGGAGTCGTCTCTGCCGCGCCAGAACGTCCTCTTCCCTTTCCGCGAGCAAACCCTCGCGAGCTCGCGCACGAAGGTCGCCCTCGCGCCTCCCAGAAGTCATGGGACAAGCCTCGAGCGCCCCAGATGCCCGGATCGTCCGAGGAGATGGTGACAGGGAGTCCCATCTTCAGCATCTGAAGGCCCGGGTGGATTCGCAGGTCGCTCAGGTAGCGCAAGACCTGGTTGCCTCGTCGTGACCGGCGGATGAGGATGAGGCGGGAAAAGAACAACGGCGCAGGACGGACGGGGAGGGCGGAGGATGTGAGGGACGACCGTGGATGAGAGGTATAGATGAAGGTGGGGCGAAGGATGGGGAGAAGAAGATGTTGGGCTCCTAGAACAAGCAGGTGGACAACAGAAAGGCGAGTAAAGACTGAAATCACTGCTTGCCAATGGCCAAGCTTGTTTCAAACTTAACTTGTAGTCTGCAGCTTCCTTTCCAATCACCCTGAAGGACCTGAGGGCTTCTCCAAAAAACAAAACGGACAAATACAAGGATACAAATCCCAAACACTCCATGGGACTGGCATATTTACATACATTGACCCCCAAAACCACCTCAACTGATCGGCAGTCCTATGGCAGTCCCAGACTCAGACAGGTCGCGGTCCGTCGACGCTGCCGCTCGCCCCCTCAACGCCCCTCTCATGCTCAAGGTGCTAATGGGGCAAACCTCAATCGCAACGCCATCCTCGCGAACCTCCGCACTGGTGGGGGGGAGCAGTTCACCGTCGCGGCGAATGAGAAGACAGTGGCTGTCGCCCCTGAACAATGAGGTTGATACTCTTGGCCTCTTGATTTGCTGCTGCAATGCACTTTCTAGCGAGCTAGCAGTGTGTTGATGGGACTGCCTCCACTGGCCGCTGCGTCATCTATTTTGCATGTCACAGTGCCAGGATCCTCGCGCCATGGCCATGCCCCCGCGCCCGCCTTCTCCATGAGCAACGGGTGACGTACGATGTTGAAGCCATGTCCTAGACCTCATCTTGAAAGCAAACCAGCTGCAAAGGCACTTGACACCCAAGAATCAAACAGTTCAAAGGCAAAGGCGGCAGTACCGGTGGAGGTGTTGCAGAGTTTGGATGGTAGGGAGACTCACCCTAATTGGAATTCATGCAAGTCAAAGAGTGCAATTGACCTGCTTGATTTCAAGCATGGCCTGAAGCAATGGAGGCTTCACTGGGGCAATGATGGAAATACTGTTAAATACGGTAAGTGCATATTAATGGACATGAGTTGGTTACAAAACACTCTTGCACAGTGAACTTGACAGTTCCGGTTGCAAACCAAACTAGTAAGCACACCCGTTCAAATTCAAATACATGCCGTATACATGCTTCCTACCTCCTACCCATGTAAATTATTTCAGAGGTTAAGATATGTTAAAATGCATACTGTAATCCTATAATATCGCGTATATAGTCTAGTCCTATATCGGGGCGATTATAGTCTAGTCCTATATCCGGGCGATTATAGTCTAGTGGCGATTATAGTCTAGTCTAGTCCTATATCTGGGCGATGCTATGCCAGTTCAAGCTTGGCAGCCAAGACACGCTTGGCGCCCAGCAGGACCGCGTCCACCGTGTTCATGGTGGACCAGTCGCTCTGGTGCGCAGGCATGCCACGCAGGTGGCCAAGTGAATGATGGCGAATGTCTGGGAGGGTAGCTATAACGCAAACAAACTACAAGACCTACCAGGTTCTTCTAGTTAGGAACCTACACTAATTACGGCACACCTGCCGCACTGCCAAAAAAAACAAAGAAGCACCAACAATCAACAATCTTGAGGAATTCATGAAACAAAGTCACTGGCCTTCAGGCACGGCTCCGAGTTTCCAAACATAAGCAGTACTCGATGATTGTACACCTACAGTGTCGGTCTTCAGACTTACTCGAGTTCTGCCTTCACAAAGCATCGGGGGACCGCATGTAGGCTCCTCCCCGAGGACACTCCCGGACTCCTCACATAGACCCTCTCAATGGTCCCATGGAAGACGATTTTCCTCTACCCATGTGAGTCTTCCAGGGTGTAGTCAGGCTCACTTCGCATGGATTGCAAATGGATCTTCACCTGTCGGCCGTACACCCACCCACCCACCCAGCGTCGCCTCACCATCATGCAGCATCAGTGGCAGTTCGAGGCCGGCTTTCGCCTGCTTCTTCAGCTCCTTAGCGGAACGAAGCGGTGGCATCGTGCGGTCCGTGGATCTGGATGCATCTGGAAGTGGAAGGTCAATACACCCCAGGCACTACCCCAGGCCTCCAACTACCTCCTGAGGTTCGGTGGTTGGGGTGGGTGCCATGGGGGTCTAACTACTAACCACCGAACCTCAGGAGGTAGTTGGAGGTTTAGGGACAGGTCAATACAGAATCACACCTGCACCGGTCACGTGGACCCTTGATATCCCTTGATATCCCAACTCCCCCCATGTTCATGGATTGTAAGACATCCTGTGATGGTCGGAATGACCCTGAACTGTATGGAGTTGAAGCACTTGGAAGCAAGAGCGGAACTGCAATGGATGATGGTTTTGACGGCCCAGCTTCTAGATGATTCACGTCACAGGGCGGAACCTTTGAACTGTTACGTCTTCGAAAGCAAGTCAGGCGAGTAGGTCAGAGCCAAAACATCAAACATGCCGGAATCATAAATTATACAACTGAACTTACCACAGCAAGCAATTGCAAACAACAAAGTGCAAAACAAAATCCCCAAGCCTCCCCAAGCCTCCCATGCGTTTGACACGACACCACCAGACACAACCCACCTCTTCACCCTAAACCTCTCTAACCCACCTCTTCCCCCTTCCCTCCAAGCTGCTAACAGCTGACGTGCATAGTCCAAGGTGGGATGTCCCGCATCTTCCTCACCCGGAGCATCCCAACCCACCAGTAGGTCGGGACGCTGAGCCTTCACCTGGACTGGCGGAGGGAGTCTTGGGGGTCTTGGTCTTCTGAACTGGAGTGCCACTCCCCCGTCCCGCTGGTGCAGCTTGAGCATTTTGGGATGGGAGGTGTTTGTAATTGTTCCGCATGCAACTTAGAATCGCTCCAGATATCCAAAGAAAGCACCGCCATAGCGGTTTGGTACCAAGCAATTACCAGAGTCGCTCCAATGCCCCTGGGTTCCACTGACCTCGCCTCCAAAGCGAAAGCCAAATCTTCGGCAATCACCTGTGGGCTTCGCATGCGGATGCTGGTGCCGATGAGCTTCACGGTGAGCTCTGGATGTCGGACTTGCCTGGGCGACCAGGGCGACTGACCGACGTGGTCGCACCAGCTGGTTCAAGAGAGGTTGTGGACTGTGACCTGACGTAGGAGCCCCTGGGGTCTTGGGGTAGCCAACTGGGATAGTCATCGATAGTCTACAGATGTCTATAGGCTATAGCTGGCTTCTGGAGTTCTTCAACCTCTGTTGGGTGTTCCGGTGCTGCCTGCTGGGGGAGACGCAGCACTGGCTAGGAGCGAAGGACAGTCAAAGGTTAGGGTGGAACTCATCCCTGAGCCCTTAATGGCACCGCATGGAAAGCAAAATGCCATCAAATGCAAGTCGATGACCATTCACTGTCAACAAGTTCTGCGCCCTCCAGGCTGCATCTTTTGGATCTGTTTCTGGTACACATCCAGGGCAGCTGCTCCTGCCACCGTCGGATGCCGACATACGTTCCACTGATTCGGTCCCAACATCAGTGCCAAAGTGCCTGCTCCTGGCCCATGACTGCCCATAACCCTGGGCACCCTGAGCCTTTTTGGTTGTCTGCTTAAACTGTGGTCCAGTGACGCTGGGACAAGCAAGTCTCTCCAGAGTCTGGGCACAGCCCAAAACAAATCGCCAACGACTTTTTTGGCTTCGACAATGCAGTCAACCGCACATGTAAGTTTAGTTCACCGCAAATCAACATTACATGTGTCCGAAAAGGAACGGTTGATGACATGGGGGACCTCCATGTATAGAACTCAATTCGACGGCGTACTGGGTTTTTTGGGATTTGGCCGAAGCTTCCCCTCAGCCATGTCCAGCCCCCGGTCCTCGGTATTCCCGCCCGTCGAGGTCAAAGAGAAAGCCCTGGTCGTGGAATAAATCAACACCTCGGCTTGGGGTGGCTGGAGCTATGCTTGGCTGCTAGGAGCTGCTAGGAAGACATGGGTACGTGATGGTACGTGCTAGTGCCGGTTGATTTCTTTGCCTTTTGGCTTCTATAAGAGGTTGATGGAAAATCAAAGAGCTCAAAGGACTAGGTCCTAGGGGTCACATCTCCCTGCGGAGTAAACTCCGTGAAAAGAATCATGGAAGTGGAACATGGCCGCGTGAATGACCACTTTCCTCTTCCTAGGGATCCAAGTACCTTCTCAGAAGGTGATTGGAGACACTCTTATGTGGGTTTTGAGGGTCCAAAGGGTCCACAACAGGTTGTTTTCTCCACTTCCATGTTAGTGAGCCGGAGTGTGCTGACCAGCTGGTGTTCCAGTGCTGCTTGGGTCCAGCATGAAAAAAGAGCCAGTCACTGCCAAGCCGTGGGGCAGGGAGGGAGGGAGAGAGGATTGCAGCCCAGGTGGCGGAATTCCAAGTGCGTCACTCCATCCTCCAAGAACTCCAGCATCGTCGCCCAGAAGTATCCCTCCAGTGCCTGGTGCTAAGGCTAAGGACGGACTCATAGGACAAGGTACACCGAGGCAAACTGCTTGCACTGCATGAGTGCATGTCTGCATGTCAATCAGTCAATCAATATGTTGAAGACTTACAGTATATATGTGTGAACTTATTTGAACATAATGTATCTTTGGACTTGGGAACCTCCAATCTCGATACAATTCCTTGCAATGTCAAACGCAGGTTGAGCTGAAATGGAGCGAAACCAAAAATAAGCAAGAGAAGGCCTCTCGGTAAGTGAAGAAGCCTGCGACACGGATGAAAATGTCCTCAGTCTGGCAATGCCGCTGCCGATTGGTCTCCCTGCAGATGGAAGACAGGCCTCGACTACACTAACCCTTGGTTGAGTAAAGTCCTCTGCATTCTTGCTGACCTTCTGTGGAAAACGTTTAAGCGAGACAAACACCAGCAACCTCTGTCTGGTCTTTGGTCCTTGCGATTAAGATTCTGAGCTTGATGAATGCAAACAAATCCATCCAAATCCCTGCATGGATCATCTCTTGCAAGAACTTCCTGAAACATGTTCCACACTAAAGTTGCAAGCAGTCATGAAGCTGTATATTTTTCTAGCTACATAACGATCATAACAAGCGTATATTAGTTGAAAAATGTTGAGCAGCTATAAATTGCATGAGCCCCGGTTTTCCATGGTTTTCCACCATGAGATCTACGCGCCCGGTTCCTCTAATTATTACCGATCTCAAGGGCAAGACAAACGCCGGATCGCTGGGCGCCGGTGGCCCCTTGTTATGGAACCGGGCGAACGGATGCGAACAGCATGGACCGTTGAAAAGACGATGTTCCTTGACAAACCGGGCGTGGTGAACTCAGGTTCGGTCTCGGAACCCGGGCGTCTCCCAAACACGACCGGACTGGCAGATTCACTGACGGTGGACGTGGACGTGGGGGGTCGGCAAGGGCGGCATATCTTCCAGTCCGATATGCCTGGGATTGCCTGGGTATGGTCTCAACAATTCCGTTGAGCAGAAGACCTGGCCAGCATTTTCTCACACGGCAGCCTCAGTACGATAGCGTGACTCCACATACAGGTCAAGGAGCACCTTCTTCACCAGAAGTTGCCAGGCACCCCTCAAGCGTTCAAGGCGTTTGGCCTTTTGCAACTCGAGCAGCTTGAGCTTCTCTTCCTCGGCCGCTTCGCGCAAATCGGCTTCGTCTCGCGCCCAAACAATGCATCCACCGAAGACGGGCTTGAGTTGTCCACCTTCCTTGCGGAAATCGATCACTGCCGGTGCAAATTCCACCCCAATTCTGAGTGCAGCCATTCGAGCAGCTTCATCATGCACATGAACGGTGCCAGGAGGAATGCCCTGTCGAACCTCGATGTTCCCATAGTTATTGACACCTGGAATTGGACCACCAACAACAGGTTCCTTGATGCTTTCTCTTGGCAACTCTTCAGTCTGCCACCTGCCAAAGAGTTTTGAAGAAAACATGGAGTCCCTGCGCAGGACCTTCATTGGCCGCTCATCGTCCCGCACCAAACGCCCCTGTTGGCGCCACGCTGCCGCAGTGCGCAGATCCGACACATCCTCGCGGCGCCAAATGGACTCCTTCCCTTGAAAGAGTCCCACCGCTTTGGCTTTGGCATCCACCCATTGATCCTGCCGAAGCTGCGAATCCAGAATGTAGACGCGATGAAACTTGAACTGAGCCTTCGAAGTGGGAAGAGGCTCTTGCTGAGCAAGCTGAAGCAGCCATTGTCGATCCAATTCATTGGCTCGTGAAGTAGCAGCATCGGCTTCCACATCAGTGGCACCACATCTGCTCGCTTCGAGAAGTTCCGTCCAAACCTTCGCAAGAGATCCTCGTGCCTCGAGCATGTTGCTCCAACGACCATAGCGAGCCGTCACGTCCCAGAGATCTCCTCCAGTTCCCATGGCAAAGATCCAAACGCTGCTAGGACCGCCTGAAGGCACCCCTAAAGCTCGCCAACGACTCACGGACTCATCGAAGACCTCAGCCCACATGGACAACTCTGGTAAAGCTTCGCCTTTCAAAAGGCTTCCACACTTCTTCGCAGCTGGCAAAGGCAAGGCCAAAGCCAAACGAGCTGGTCTCCGCTCTGCACGGCAGCGCGCCACCAATAACAAGGCCAAATCCAAGGATGTGGCCTTGCCATGGAGCGATCCTAAGAGGCGCCAAAGGGAGAGCGGACCAGGTGAAGAGGACCCGGAAGCGAGTCTTCCGGACGCAAGCTCGTCCTTAAGCCTTCGCAAGCTCGTCTTCACACCATCATCCAGGCACGCCGGCACCTGTGATAGAAGAGCGCCTTGTAGAAGTTCGTTGTTGCACAGGCCGTTCAACCAAATAAGCCGGGCGAGAAATGAAGAAACAAGAACTCTGTACTGAAGAACTGATTGTTGACGTAGTTCCTTCCATTGCTTCCTGTTGTTCAACCTCTGCTCCTTGGCGCCCGTCTCTTGGCTTGGCTCTTGGTCTCCGGAATTGCTTGCCGTTGCTTCCGCTGAAGCTCCCTCAACCTCCGAGCTGACAGGCTTTGAGGATGTCTCAAAGTCTTCCTTCAAGGCCTCGCCCAGGTCGCACCAATCAATGTCTTCAAACTCATCTCTTTCTTCGACCTGGCCAGAGATGCCACCCACCTCTTCTAACAAGAACGAATGCAAGTCATTGCCATCCTCAGGAATCCAGTTCATGGCGTCTGTGAGGGTCCTGTGGCCCCAGGGCCCAAGCAAGCTTTTGAAGATCTGTGAAGTACAATATGCTGATCGAACTTCTACAAGATCTTTATATAGAAGCCATATACTTTGAAGATATTTGAAGATCTGAAGTCCAATATGTTGATGTTCTACAAGTAGAAGCTCATGCCATCATTAGGTTGCTAGTTCAAGAAGCCTGCAGGTAAGTCTGTAGGACGGTGTGTTACATGTGGTCGTCTCCTGATCAGCTTCAACTATACACTGCAGATCCAGTCTGACCCAGTAATAAAACCTGGTCCTTACCTCATTTGAGTAGTGATTTTGTATGATAAACTCGAGTAAAATGAGGTCAAGAACTGACCTGTATAGGAGAATATCCTGGCACATTGAGCCCAACTTGTCGTCTTCAGCCGTTCGGAACACCAAGCACCGTGTCGTTAGAAACCGCTCAAACATGGTGAAGGCTTGGAAAGCTATTGTCTTCTGCATGAACTGGTTTGGGGATCCATCTTAGCCGTAGCTCGGTCCGCATGAGGAGGTAGCTAGCCCATCCTACTGGCACGCCTGGCTTGAACATGTTGTAGTGACTTTGGATGTAGTGTGACCTTGCTACTTGCAAGGGCCAGCCACTTTCCATTGACAAAACTAAACAAAACTTTTTGGGGTGGTTGTCGAGTCGTCTTGACGCCACTTTACCATCAAACTTTATAGCATGATGTCACGTTCAATCAAGTCTACACCGCTGACTCCTGCTGATCAGGAATATGGTGGGTATGGTGGGTGAATGTGTTGGCGTCAGTACTTGCGTCAGCATGCTTCCCCACCGAGAGCTCAGCGAGATGAAACTGTTTCTTAACGTCTTTGCAATCTGTCTTGATGAGGGCTCGAATGGAAGCTTCACCCTCTGCACTGGCTCCAGGAAACTCCGCGGAGGGGGGGGGGGGGTTTGGGCTCCGACCACGAAGCTCAAAAGCTGGACTACAGCTGCCTAACAGAAGCTGAGCATCGGCGAACTTCTTCCAAATCTCTGCCGAGGTCAGCGATTCATCCTGCACATGTCATGCTTGCACAAGGCACGGATTATGGATTTGTGGGTGAGGTGAGCCTTGAAAAAAGGTCTGATGGGAGCCTCTCTCATGTAATTAGATGGGTTTGTGTAGTGTGAAGACTTCCATTGTTCACAGTGCATCTGGGATTATTGCTGACACTCCTTGGATGGTCCTGGAATGTGTATCTTAGATTTCCTTAAGAAATAAATATATTCCCCACAATGAATTTCACCAAAGTTGATAGAGTTCAACTCATATTCCGTGTGCCACCAGGCTCCACCAAAGCCTTGGTTTTGAATTCCATCGATCGCCCCGTCGGCCGGTGGCCTCTTCATGCACTGTCAGCAACTTCAGAAGCTTCTGTGGAAAGTCTTTATCCTTCTGGATCCTCAGCTTGAACTGTTGAGGCCAAAAGGAAGCCGCCGATTTCAAGGCCAAGACGAGGCCCATGAGCGTTCATGTTCAACGACTCTCGTGCAGAATGTGATATATAACTGCATTATAAACCCCCCTGAGGTGAAGGTGGTGAGGGTGGGTGGGATTAACCACCGAACCTGAGGATATGGGCCGGGAGCCCTAGGGAAACATCTATATATAAATCTAAATCTTCACTTCAGAGACTGCACACCGTGGTAGGCTCAGCTGGCTCCTCCTGGGTCGAATCTCTCTGAAACCATTTGGTCCAAGCATTGGTTCTTCAAGGAGGTGCCATATATGGAGCCCCAACCAAAGACTAAAGTGACTAAAGACTTTCGTATTCTCATATAGTAATTTGTGTGTCCTGGACGGTCAACTAATCTTTGGAGCCCATACAAGCCAAGAATCAGTTCCTTTGCTGGAAAATAGCCCGCTTTCTTCTCCTTCATGGTAGCGGTCTGTGCACAAACTCAACGCCCAAACATGATGACCCCACCAAACTTTGGGATGGTCCAGGCACACGTGCAATTTCTTGGATGAGGTGTCAAACCAGCCAAGACCATTTGTACATCACAAAACGATAAAGCTATGGCTTCCAGCAGCACGAAGCCATCTGTCGCTACTCCACCGTTGGAACCCGGGAGCCATCCATAGAGCATTTTATGAACAAAAAAAGAAGACCTTTGGAGCTAGACTGTCAACATCTCTAATCCCTTCATCCGTCGTAGTCCGAAAACGGCCTGCGCATGCACCGAGTGTGTTTGATCGGGAATTCCACCATCGCAGTCCGTCACCCGTCGTGGCAGGAAATCTCAAACGGGTGGTCTGCATGCAATTTGGGAGGCTTGAGGGCCCACAGCAGGAGAGGATGTGGGTCAACATCCCACCATTGTAAGCTACAGCACGTGGGTGCCAGGTGCACAGCCTGGGGTCCAGCAGTCTGCAGGCTGGACTTGACCCTCGGGCTGCTGCTTGAAAAAAGAAGAAGTTACAAGCAGTAAATCAAGCCTGGAGTCCAATTAGAAACCGTCTCTCCGCAGGTTACTCTCGGGCCGTTTCCTAGAAACCCATATATTCAAAGGAAATCAATGAAGTACCAACTCAGAAGGTGATGTGTTCGACACTGTTATGTCGTTTTGGAGGTTCCAGTCGTAGCTTAGAAGATACGAAAACGGAATCCCGGCAAGCAAGAGTTGCCAAACTGAGATCCACAAAAAGTGGATCAACAAAAGGTGGTGTGTAAATGAAGTCAACCGAACTTCCCACGCTGTTGGTGTTGTCCTACGGGGGAATCGCTGGTGACCTACGGAGCCCGTCACCTTCGCTTCGCCGGGCGCGACAGCGACAGGCGCGGGGCGCCTGTGTGGCGTTGTAGAAGGCCAAGGAGCCCAGTGGTGGATCATCTGCACCTCAAGGTGTGTGCTCCCCTCCTGGGTGCAGCCTGGTGTGTCAAAGAGGATGCTTGGAGGTTTTGCCTTGGGAAGGGGTGGGTTTGTGGAAGGAAGCATGCTTCACAAGAAAACGGACGGAGCCTAGTCTTGTACTCCAAATACCCAGTATCAAAGCCTGGTGAGCAAAAGACCGTAGGAATGAGAGCAGGGAAACAACATTCAATGACGGGCAAAGGGGGCATGAGGCATTTCCAACAACTTAAGAAACAATTGTGACCATGAACAGCATGAGACATGAGAAACAAAGAAACAAGGCCAACAACTTCTGCCATTTGTTTAATTGCTGGGTCATGAGGACATAAAGGATTGCAACTCCAGCACAGTCAAAGGTACAGTCGTTTAAGCGATGCCCCCTGCCCCATCTAATTCTATGTTACTATAATCCTTGCAGTAGTTTCAGAGTAAATGGCACAATCCCCAAGTTCGGTGGTTTATATGGACCCCCATATAGGAGACATCTTTGGGTTTGTGCATGTTTGTGCCATCGTAAATATGCAATCTTGCCTTTCGGAAGTGTCTTGGAGATCTCCTCATTCGAGACCTCTAAAGATCTTGATTAATAAACCCTCCGCTAGGGATCCAAGTACCTTCTCAGAAGGCACCTGGACCCTCCAAACCCACCCCAAACACCTTCTGAGAATACTTGGATCGTTAGGGCTCTTAGACATGGATTACAAAACACTATAAACCTCGTTTTCTATAGAGGTTGAAATGTCCCATTCAGATCTTCTAGGTAGATTCATGGCTTCCGGCTCTGGACCAACCTCTCCGCCAAGAGACTCGTGGTGTTCGGCCAGAAAACGTAGCAACCCGGCAGATCAAGGCCTTCAGAACAGTCGAGAGCCTTTTAGGGTCTCTTGCGGGGCGGATTGACCAGCGAAGGCATCAAGTAGTGGTGGATAACCCAACAGATTGGCTCACCAGAATCAGGTGCCTGCAATGACTAAAGTGGATAAGAAAACCAGTTACAGTTAGAGTAAGTTCAGGATCCTTCTGTATAAGTTTGCCTGAATCAGAAGCATAGACTCTATTGACCGGTAGACACGTGCAGCCAGTCGGCCAGCCGGCCAGCCGTGAGCGACATGCAATGCGGAATTCAAAAGTACAAAAGTATCAAGCACACATTATTCCCCAATCTGTACACAATAATATAATATATATATATACACATATAGAAAACTATTTCCACATAGTCAAATATTATGAGGGATGGCTTGCAGGTTGTTGCCAGAACACCGAAAGAGTCATGAACCTCATGGGCTCGCCTCATGTGCATAATTCCCCCCTAAGCATCGCCCACCACCACTCCCTCCACCTATGTTCCACAAAGTGGATCTCAGTTTGACAATTCTTACTTGCTGAATTCATCCAAAAGTGTCAACCTTCTCCCTCATGTCAACCCGGACGCTCACATCAACCCGCCAATCCCCAACGCGCGTGCCCGTGCTACTGAGCGTACCTTGATTCACCACCCAGGTCATGGAAAAGGACGCTGAGACGTGCAAGTGCAATGCTCCACCCTTGGGCATCTGCCGCAGCACCTGAGTGCTGATACCGAGACGCCTCGGAAAGCTCAACTGGGAAAGCCAACGAATCACGGGTCGCACCTTGTAGAGCGTTGTGTTCTCAATGAGTGCGCGAACACGCCTTCGCAAGGCGCGGGCGGCATGCCATTCATCAAAGTCATGGTTCCCCGCCGGCACATGTCTATCACAGCGACTCCGGTGCAAGAGATTCATCTAGACATGACGACTGCTTAGCAATTAATACTATCCAACCACAATTCAGCACATGGATACATAGAAAAAGGGTTGCAAATGGACACAGCTTACAGTAACTAGCTTCTTTGTCTTTTCATTCTGAGAGCCACTGAGAGCTGAGCGGGAAATAGGTGGATGGAAGAAAACGGTCGACCAAGCGCTGCTTCCTGAGCAAGAGTTCAATGGGGAAAAGGAAATAGCGCGGCCCAAGAAAAGCCAACCAACAAGCCAAGCATTGCCAAGCACCCACAAAGCAACAGTTGCCATAAGCTAACCATAAGCTGTAAAGCACTTCATCCAGGGAATATGTACCTGCATTGGTCCCTAAGCCTACAACCATCCCAATTTGCCAATGTAGGTACGTATGCCATATACGTGGAGTGTTTGGGGTCGTTTAAAGGTCTCAGCACGAATCCGGAACCAATCTCGTAAAGGATTGTGGGGAATTGTCGAAGGTCTGACACCACTGACACCAGCCGCCCACTGACTATGCTTCTCAAGGCCAGCAAGTCTGAGGCCCAAAGGATGAACCTGCTGGAGATTCCAAAGCCTGCGTATATCCCGCCTACACCTCCAACCACTCCTGAGAAGGTGGTTAGGGTGGCAAACGTTGAGTCCTTTAGGCTGTGATGCAACGTGAAAGAGTTCAAACGTGAAGTTACTTTACACTAAGTCTAATAGTTAACAACATATAGGAAACCAATAATTATAGCAAACCAAGACTTAAACCAATTGTTTCGATATGTTTCGATCAAAGAAATCCTACTAATGACGCACACCCTGCCAGCTCTTCTGTTCCACCCAGATTCTTGTACTGCTGAATCATCTCTTGCACCGTGGATCCGAGCCAATGGTCAAATGCTGCTTCGTCCTGTGTCCGGTGACCAGACGGATGGAACTGGATGGACCATCAGCGTGACTGGACGAACATGAACTACCGCACCTGGCTGTCATACTCTGTCCCTGGCTACAGGGTAGTGAAAATGAGTCATGACTGGACCCTCAGGGCTAATAGCACCCTAGGGCTCCAACATGCTCCAACCATATCCTCAGAAGGTGGCTAACCCCCCCCAAACCCATCCAAACCACCTTCTCAGGAGGTGGGCCAGGAGCCCTAGGGGCATGAGGATCTGCCGAAAAGGCCAAGGGCCTGGCACGTTCCCAAACATCGCCAAAGCGACCCGCACAAGCATCGGAACACTGGTCACTGGAGGAAGACCTTCGATTCATTGGCCAATTCCGTAGGACTTGGGGGAGTCGTGCCTGGTGGCACCCAACACTGACAACCCCCGTCTTCCCCAAGAAGAACACTCTTGTTTTCGTGGGCTTGTCGACACTTCTGGAGCACCCAGTTCCTCAGTCAAGTTGGTGCCCGCGCCATCCACCAAGGCATCTTCATGCTTCAGGAACCTGGGAGCATGAAAGGAGGTCCACAGCAGAGTTCTTGGCTTCATGCTCCTGCCCACCCACACATCCCAAAAAAGAACACAAAACTCGTCAAAGCTGGCTCCTACCGACACAGCTCACCCACCCAAGCTCACCTCACCTCACCACTAGGACAAAAGATGTTCATCTTGAAGGATCCAAATGGCTCCAATGTCATCCCTCCAAGGCTTTAGAAGATTCAATAGAGAGTGCTGAGCTTGACCATCTCACACTGGCTATGCGAAATGGACTTCTTAATTCCACCGTGGCTGATCCACTTAGATTTTATTTATTATAAGACCCGGTCAGAAAAAGAAAAACAAATCCTTCTGAAGTATCCATCTGAAACCCATGTCGAGTCCCAACATGCAATCCACTTGATTTCGGATTGTTGCGAGGCACGCCGCACGGGTCTTCAGATACTCCGCCAGGTCTTCCGAGGCCAAGGCAGCACGAGGCCCAGGCGCGAACACCACCAGGGCGAGGAAGCACAGCACATGGGAGGTCATGGCTGCAAAGACTGTTCCAGCCTACTGCAACGGCTACGGCTAGAGCTATCAGTAGGAAAACAACATGTGACTCATGTGACATGAAATCATAATCTAGAGAAAGTTGAAAAGCAACATGTAGTGTATACATGTGCTCAACGAATGTTGAAGCTGCTCTCAACACATAACTGCGCCTTATGTGTCAGCTGGCTCAAATGTAAGCTTCACAAAGCGCACAAGATTTATGTCCTCTTCGATGTGCTTGCGCCATACATGTGGTCACTGCCAAAGTCTTACCCAACAAACTCTCCCAATCCACACTCAACATGCACTCTGCAGCCCTAACCAAGCCGAGTCTGCAGGCCTCTCGTTGCTCGCAACCTTCACCCATGGAGCCCCTATCACCCAATCACCCATGATGGGGCTCTTGCTTCGGACCTGCCACCGAGCACTTTTGATCGCATGCTCCATCCGAGCGCGTCCATCCGAGCGCGTCCCGATCCACGGCGAGGTTCGAAGCTGTGACCAGCAGCTGTTCACGGCGCGTTCCCGCTGCGACTCGCGACGAAAAGGCGCCGCCTTGGCCACCAGTCTGGTGTTAAGGCACCATGTGGACGACCTACTGAGGGGTGTTCTGTGGGCACTGTGTGTCGCACCATTCCTTTTCGCAGCCACCGGGGCAGCACCGCGCGGACGACGGAGCAACTCCGTGGCTCGGCGGCTGCTGCGTGGCACTTTCTGGGGGAATCCAACCGCAACAAAGCTCGCTGGTAGCACTGCCTTCTTGAGTTTCTTGGTCTCACCTCGGGAAGCAAACATCTGGGGCAGAAAAACAGAAACCAGTCAAACTCAGTCTGGAAAGAAGACAAGTTGCACAGCTGAAAAGTGTAGGGTTGAAGCAACCATGCTAGCACCAACTCTTGGCACACGAAAACAATCTGTGCAAAAGCTCTGCCAATCGCACGATTTTGTCAACCGCACCACGCACCCCGCAGCATGGGCAAGTTTCTCTTTGTTACATCAAGGGTTTTGAGGGAACGGAAACGCGTTGAGTCCCAGGCGTTGAAAAAAGTTCAAGGCCGCCAGACGTACATCTGTGGTATCCCAGTCCTTGCGAGATTTTCCGTAACCGGTGATGATGATACAAGTCAGTGGGTCGCTGCTCTCCAAGTCTCGGGCGACTGCATTGGACAACCAATACCGCAAAGCAAGCAAATCAGTTCCTTCCGAAAGGTCATGCAGGTCAATTTTGGAAGATCCACATGCTCGCAGTGTCCGAACCACTTGAAGGTTGCATTGCAGAAACAACTGCCTACCAATCTCGCCAGAATGAACCGCGGCGCTCTGCAACAAAGCATTGTAAGTAACTAAATTTGGCGACACGTTCTGCTTCGACATGGCCTCAAACAACCTCAATGCATGCTGCCATTGACTGCCCTTCTCACACGCGCTGATGGTGGAGTTGAAGCTGATGACATCAGGCTGGACCTTTGCCTGGGGCATGGCATCAAACAACTTCAATGCCTGCTGCCATTGACCGCCCTTCTCACATGCGCTGATGGCGGCACTGTAGCTGATGACATCAGGCTGAACCTTTGCCTTTAGCAGGGCATAAAACAACTCCAATGCTTGCTGCCATTCACCGCCCTTCTCACATGCGCTAATGGCGGAATTGAAGCTGATGACATTAGGCTGAACCTTTGCCTGGGGAATGGCATCAAACAACTTCAATGCTTGCTGCCACTGACTTTCGGTAGCAAATCGAAGCCTCCGCTTCGTGAAGACAGCCGCACCACAGCAGCCTTTTCAGCAAGCGCGCGTAGCCATCGCATTGGATGCAAAGACAAATGGCGGAAGGGATCCCTTGAAAGGTAGCGAAAGCGACGTCCACAAGCAATCAAACAAGGTTCAGGAAGCGAAGGAAACAAACAATCACACGCCCCTAAGCTTTTGGACCTAGCTTAGCTGCCTTTCGCTTCTTGGCAGAAACAAAAAGGGGATCGTAGACCAGGATCCAATGTCCCTGAACCAAAGCTTGATGCAAGGAGCTCTGACATTGATGCTTTGTTAAAGCATCCGCCAGTTGAGCGTCAGAATTCACCCAACGAGTCTCCGTGTGACCTCTGTCCAAGCGTTCCATCACCGACAAAAGCTCCAAAGCACTGTATTTCTCGGAAAGTCCCAAACCGCTCGTGTTCACCAAACCCTTCTGAACCGAGTCATAGAGGGACTTGGCATCGGTAACAAGAATCCCAGGAACACGAACCAACACATCTTCAGGAGATCGAGGATCGAGGTCATGACCGAGCATTTCGCCCCACTGGAGTCTCGTGAACATAAGTTCCTCTTCAGCCTCCGAAAAGGCTTGCACCTCTGCCGCTAGGCTCGATCTTGCGATCCTTTTGAGTTTGAAGGTTTTCCAACCTACAAAGTTCACGCGTGCTTTCTTTCCTTCTCGAAGGTCTTTGGTAGTGGCACCAACCAAGTAACCACCAGTACTACCCATGTCAACCCTATTGGCCAAAGCAGCGTCACTCCAAGCAACAAATTCAACCTCTTCAGGGGAACACTCCAACACTTGGGTTTTGGGAGAAAGCATGCGATCATTGTAAATCTCTCTCACCAATTTGTTCGCTTCAGCCAATGTTTGGCCATCGGCTTTGGTGATCCTGCTCTGCAACTGACTCAACTTGGCCCCGTGCTGGGGTCCAGACTGGACCACACGCCACTGTGCCGCGCCCAAAACGGCTCGAAGTTGCTCAACTTCTTGAGGAGTGGCTGGTGCTTTCGGGTCTTTAGTGGTGATGCTAATTTGCTGTATGCCAGTGCAGAATTTTGCATGATCCAAAATGATTTCTTTGCTTGGGGTTTGATGCAATTGAACTCCACAATGGTCAAATGAATCACACTCCCAAGGACTCCAACGATATGAAGCCTTAAAACGATGCAAAAACAAGTTCCACGTTTCGTTTCCATCGTCCCCAATCATATAGAAATCATCTACATGGCTTCCTACAAGGCCAACGACCGAGTTCGTGGAAGGATCTTTGATCCTCCAGCAGCAGGGTTCCGTCTTCAAAGCCTCACCTCCTAATTCAAGGATCTTGTTTCTAACTTCGAGGTACCATTGGTGAGGGGCATTGCAAAGACCATAACAGCTTTTAACCACCTGGACTGCCCTGCCTGGTTCAACTCCCATGGCCATTGCCAGCTCTGGAACTGGCACTGCGAACACACTCCGGCGTTCCTCGGTGTTCTCGCTGGTCTGCAAGAATGCGCTTTTGGCATCGCATTTCACTTGTGACCAACCGCAACAAGAAGCCATGGTCATCATGAGTTGTCTAGTGCGTCTACTCATTGTTGGACTAGTCGTACTGAGGCTTCCAAGGTCGGGGTCACTAAAACCTACGATCACTATTCGAGCCTT